TTGACTTCGTTTACAACCTATCATTTTCATCCACCGAGTATTTCAAATTGTTTATTTGCTGTTTATTTGCTGCTCAGATAACATAATTTACATTTCTTCACAAAATGTTTATTTATTTTTGTGAAGTGTGGTGTCATATTTTACAATATTTCTTCTTTAAGATACTTCCTTGTCAACAGATCTACTTTATTCCCTATGTTATTTACTTTATTTCCTAAATGATATATATCCTCCGTTTCGTGACATTTTGAAAACGTTGAACTAAAAATATCTATATTTTAGCTTATCTACATACTATTATATAGTTGTTGATATGTCGATGAATTGTATAAATACTAAACGGATTGGCTTAACATAACCTAGAACATTTAATTTACTACATACATGTACATGCATTGGTATTGTTATCATATGTTTAAATACAGAGAATTAACCTGTCTTATAAGTAAGATTGAAAATAGATAGATACTACTTTTGTATGATAATCAGCATTTTTAAAATCAGTAGATATATAGTAAATGTAGCACATGCTTTGTAATACAATAAATGTATTTAACATATGACTTTGTTAAGTGCTTTTCATAAATCAATTTTACAACAAGAAATGATACATATTAAAACAATTGCCTGAAAACATATTCAAATACTTTATTAACTGTTTGATATGGAAACGTCCTGGTGCCAAATCATAATGTTCTATAAAAAAATAAACTCCTACGTAGGAGATAAAAAAAGCCTAATTAGGAGTTTGTAACTCCTACGTAGGACTTTTAAACTCCTACGTAGGACTTTGTAAGTCCTACGAAGGACTTTATAACTCCGACGTAGGACTTTATAAGTCCTACGTTGGACTTTGTAACTCCTACGTAGGACTTTATAACTCCTACGTAGGAGATAAAAAAAGCCTAATTAGGAGTTTATAACTCCGACGTAGGACTTTTAAACTCCTACGTAGGACTTTATAACTCCTACGTAGGACTTTTCAACTCCTACGTAGGACTTTATAACTCCTACGTAGGACTTTATAAGTCCTACGTAGGACTTTATAACTCCTACGTAGGAGATAAAAAATCCTAATTAGGAGTTTGTAACTCCTACGTAGGACTTTTAAACTCCTACGTAGGACTTTGTAAGTCCTACGTAGGACTTTATAACTCCTACGTAGGACTTTATAACTCCTACGTAGGAGATAAAAAAGCCTAATTAGGAGTTTATAACTCCTACGTAGGACTTTTAAACTCCTACGTAGGACTTTATAACTCCTACGTAGGAGATAAAAAAGCCTAATTAGGACTTTATAACTCCTACGTAGGACTTTTAAACTCCTACGTAGGACTTTAAATCTCCTACGTAGGATTTTATAACTCCTACGTAGAATACATATCAAAGAACTGAAAGCACAGAGTTCGACGGACATGTATGCTAGAGTATAACTTAAGATAACATATTATGTAGGAAAATAAATTGTATGAGCCGCGCCATGACAAAACCAACATAATGCATTTGCGACCAGCATGGATCCAGACCAGCCTGCGCAGTCTGATCAGGATCCATGCTGTTCGCTTACAAACCGTATTACAAGTAGTGAAACTGATAGCGAATAGCATGGATCCTGATCAGACTGCGCGGATGCGCAGGCTGGTCTGGATCCATGCTGGTCGCAAACCCACTAGGTTGGTTTTGTCATGGCGCGGCTCATATGTGTCAAGTTGTAATTGTGGCAAACCACTTTAGTAAATACCTTTAGTCTGTAGCCAGAGATGATTTTGTCATTCTCTGCATATATTAAACGATGATTCTGTATTATGTACGTTTAGATATATTTATTATACACATGTACACAAAATGTATGGGTTAAACTTTGTTCAAAGTAGGATATACAATGTAATTCATTACTAAACATATGCATGCATAATGCTCCGCAAACAGTTATCTTCTTAAACTTTACGGTGCAGGAACAAGACACTTCACTACCCCCCCCCCGCCCCTGCCCCCTATAAGGATTTAATCATTTGAAACGGCCGAAAATGGATACATTGCTCGCTTTGTTCAGCTAGTTCGTATTGAAATCGTAATTATTAAAGCCTTTTAAAATTTTGATATATATGCTTGATGTCGAGTAAGTTTTTTTCGAATAGCTGTAAAGCAATTTTTCGGGATACATCGCCAATGCTTACAAACACCTCACCCTAAGACACTGTACACTCTAGAAACCTGAGACACTTTATTAAAAGGTGAAGTGTTGTGGCATGACCGTGTGACTAGTAGCCTTGATCGCTAGCCGCATGGGTTCAAACCCGTTAGGCGCAAGTCGTTGTTTACTTGAGCAAGAAACTTTACACTCATTGCTAAGTACGTACTGGTTGGTTCCAGGAACGGATTCGAAAGTGTGTCTATAAGCTTATAGCTTCCTACACAATCAAACTTAAATAAATTCTGTATGAACCAAAGGTGAAATGTCCTCTAGATTTAAGATTTGAAATTTTGCTGGGGGGGGGGGGGGTAAGTGTCTAGTTCCTTCGCCGATATACCGGTCCGGGAATGTTGATATTAGCAAAGCATTCTGTATGCATTTCTTATAAAGTCATAAAGTCCTACGTAGGAGTTATAAAGTCCTACGTAGGAGTTAAAAAGTCCTACGTAGGAGTTAAAAAGTCCTACGTAGGAGTTATAAACTCCTAATTAGGCTTTTTTATCTCCTACGTAGGAGTTTAAAAGTCCTACGTAGGAGTTATAAAGTCCTACGTAGGAGTTTAAAAGTCCTACGTAGGAGTTATAAACTCCTAATTAGGCTTTTTTATCTCCTACGTAGGAGTTATAAAGTCCTACGTAGGAGTTAAAAAGTCCTACGTAGGAGTTTAAAAGTCCTACGTAGGTCTTATAAACTCCTAATTAGGCTTTTTTATCTCCTACGTAGGAGTTATAAAGTCCTACGTAGGAGTTAAAAAGTCCTACGTAGGAGTTTAAAAGTCCTACGTAGGAGTTATAAACTCCTAATTAGGCTTTTTTTATCTCCTACGTAGGAGTTATAAAGTCCTACGTAGGAGTTATAAAGTCCTACGTAGGAGTTTAAAAGTCCTACGTAGGAGTTACAAACTCCTAATTAGGCTTTTTTATCTCCTACGTAGGAGTTTATTTTTTTATAGAACATTATGAATTGGCACCAGGACGCTTCCGTAGTTTGATGCACTGGGCTATTTCATTTTATATTCCTTGTCAGCTTTTACAATGTTATCAGCTAAACCAAATTTCCGATTAATGTCCCTGCGCGTATATGCGCGTAATTTTGGACATGAAAAGTACTACCGCCGTATGAACACACCTGCGGATGTTTCTAAATTCAGGAGATCAAAATTTTCATGTTTAAATATTAAATTCTGCTTAAGCCGGTGCTAGGGAGCGTGGATGGTAAATTTCACATTCCAGTACCGTCCATGAACAGGCTCAATCAAACCGAGGTGCAACATTTTCAACTTTGTCGTTTTGGGTTGTCTTTAGGGTCTCGTTTTTCTCTATTTTGTAGTAGAGTCTAAATAAATCAATATAAATTTTCAAAAGAAAAAAAAAAAAAACGATAAGACATTAACACGTAAATATATATTTGTATCATAGTTTCGGGACCTTTTTGTTTAAAATGTGTCAGAGTTAAATCGTATACATATACATGCGCAGTATGTTAACTGGAGTGCAGGTATAAGTTACCCGCACTCCAGAGTATGCCCATTGATTGGTTCATTTTTGCTGGGGTTTACTTATTGTGACGGCGGAGAAACGGAAAGCGGCGGAAATATTATATTCAGATCCTCGTTCATTGGTTCCTTTTTCCTGGGACTTTTTATGTTTGACTATGATACAAAAGAGAAAGAACATCAAAACACTCGACAATCTGATTAATACTCGGGGGCTACGCCCCCTCGTACAAATCAGATAGCCTCGTGTTTCGATGCTCTTTCTATTACATAACGTAGATTACATTTTCTTTACTGTTATTACATTTTCTTTACTGTTATTACTGTTTTCTATAAACATTTGTTCTCTTAACCATGCGTTTTTTTTAAAGCACACAAGTACATATTTGCAAGACATTTGTATCAGCCTACAATAAAAAGCTTATTTTCTTTAATTTGGAATTTTTTTCTTTCAATTTACTTTTATTGAACTAAGTGTTATTTTTATTGAATACAATAAACTGTACAGTTATTCTAAAGTCATTTAGCACAGTTGTATGAAAGCAACAATCATTTATTTGAGTATTCGACGAGTGCAGGTCTTTGACCGAAGGGTTGCTTTAACCAGAGCTTTATGGGATATCAAAGCGATAAAAAGTCATTTAATTGTAATTATATTATCTTTGGCTATCAAGAAGTGAAAGTTTGAGAACTTGAACGATGTCTTACGTGTTCACTGTTTTAAACAGTGCTATTAGAAAATAATAGAAATACAAAACATAGTCAGGTGTCTCTATTTTTATAAAGATGGGTTTTATTTCTTTTTTAAACAAATACTTTCTTTGTTATTTTTCTTTCATTGCATCATAACTTTACCGTGCGTATCGGCAGGAACGCTACTGGGATTACCCTAATTTTAAGATCAGTTTGTCAAAGGTCAAGGTCACTATGTGTGAATGTTGAATTTTTGAAGAAGACCAGGATAGTCCGTTAATGGCGTAAATGGCGTTGAATTTCATGCATTAGCCCCTTAGCTCAAGTAACTCGGATACCTTAACTCTTTTTATAGCTAACACTTTAGAATTCCGGTATAAATAAAGATTGAAAATCGCCATATGAACATCAGTATATTGATCTGACAAAAAAAACACAACCAAGAAACTATTTGTTATTAACAACATTTGATATTTACAACATTTATGCCAGTGCATTCAATAAAACTATATATAAATCATTCCTTGCGATATTTTAAAAACTTTATAATACAATGTATATATTCCTTATATCAAAAGAACAATAGTTAATATAATTTTTATTATATACTTTAATATTGAGAAATATTAATGAAATGAAATGCGTATTTTCATTTTGTAAAAACATATTTTTCATTTCCGTATTTTCACTGGTGACTTGCCGGACTACTTTCTTCTAATTTGAATATCCAGTTCCTCTATTTAAGCATAGTATTTTCTGAACTAAATAAGATATTTTTCAAACAAGTGAAGGCATATTGTCCTTTAGTAATTGTCTCTTGAAGCAGAGCTGTATAAAGCAGCAACTAATGTATCTTCCATTTGTCTGGGAACATATAGCTGTTTCGTGAAGCAGTTTGTATAGTACTTCTTCCATTTTCTTCGATCACCTCTCCGCCAGGACGGAGAACAACAATACTGGGAGTTCCTCGAATTTTGTACTTGGCTGTCAGCTGTTCCTGTAATTTGATGTGATTGTTTTAATGTGTATATCATATTAATTAGAGATTATTTAAAAAAATGTTTCTAAAGACGGAGTGTCATTTAGCTTCATTTGCAATGATTGCTTTACAGATCTTTTAGTAGCAAGTACAACTTTATAGTGTACCTCCTATTATCCTATATATGACTTTTTTTAAGAAATAAAATTCTACATGTGTTTGACAAAATGTTACGCAGTATAGTTTTCGTGTAAATAATTCATAATCATGCATAATGACATGTAACACATATTCTGGTTTCGAAATCAACCTTTCATATAAATGTAAACGTTAAGTATTGTAACATATTCTTTTATTTGAAAATATTTTTTTTTCTTTTTTTCTCTTTTCTTTTCTTGTCTTTTGTTGTTTAGTTGTTGTTGTTATATTTTTTACTTTGATTCCTAAATGTCCATTTTTACAGTGTAAAAATACAAACTCAATTTTTGCTTTAAACCGACACTGACATTTTAAGAGCAAAATATCTGTGTGTATTTAAAATGGTTTGAATGTGAAAAAAGAAATTATTAAGTACAACGAGTCTATGTTTGTTCATTATATTCACTATATCTATTTTTGAATAGATTGACCTAATAACTATGAAATCAACACCAATCTAACATTGTTGAAAGTAATTAATCGAGAAGAACGGCATTTTTAGGTTAATAAAGGCCTCGTTATATACTGTTAGAAATATCTCATTTTTTTTCATTATTATTGCATTTGATTGCTATCGCCTGGCAACCATTTATTATGTCAGGGGAAAATAATAGGAATAACTGTAGGAAAAAACGTTTTCAAGAAAATAAGTCTAATGAACATTTTATCAGTCGTGATATTAAACAAATTGAGCTTTTGTTTGTAAAATGTTGTCTAATGGATTCGAAGAGATTCTGTGATTAGTGTTCTGTCAAGTCAATTTCATATCGCCTTTACTACTTTAATATTGTTCTATCAAAGTATTTCAATAATGCTAACTCAAAAATATTCCATCTCTTTTAAACAATTTTGAAATTGGTTTATACCGACAATCAACAATTTCCGTCTTAAAGTTATTTAACTAGTAATATTTAAGATATACTATGCCCAAATTTGGCATAATAGAATATTGACAACGGCTACACAGTCTCTTTGTAAATATAAAACATGTTTTGACTTTGCACAAAGTAAATTTGTTAAAATTTTACTCATAATATTAATATAAAGTGACATAAAAAGGGCAGTTTTTTTTTAGGAGAGGACCAACTATGTGTCCTGTAATAAGGAACGCAGCTTCCCATACATAATTTATTCATTATTTTATTCAAATTAGACACATTCAGTCAGAATTTCACAGATTTCAATAAATTGCTGAAAAAAATATTTTACTCAATGATAAGCATAGTATACTTTTATAATATTAATTTTAAGTAAGACTGTCATAAACGATGTTACCTTTAATTCTGTATCTGTATACTGGACAGCATACCAGGGCATTGTACTGAAGTATTCGTCGAATGCCGATTGATCAATGTCGGAACTAACAAAAACTACAGCGAAGTCCTTTGCATTTTCCTCAAAGAATCTTTTCAGGATAGGCGTGAAGCTTCTGCATGGAGAGCACCACTGAGCCGAGAAATATATACCTGAATAATATAAAAGATCTGTTGCTACATAATGATCGCAAATATGGAATACTGAATGTAATGAAATAAACAGAAAAAAAATATATATGGATAAATTCTTCAGATAAAACTGGTTTGTTTGGAATATAAATAAGCACTTAAAACTTTAAAATCAAAAATTCATTTATCGATAAATAACACTTTCGGTTGTTCGGAACATAAATAAGTACTTGATATTCTCAAATAAAAAGTTCATATATCGGCTATTGATGCCTTTGAGCACAGATATCCACACAAAAAGACTGTACTTACGCATATACATGTATAGCATTAAAAAATAAATGTTTTCCTGAGATGTCATATGCCGACGGTTTTCTGTCACCGAATAATGTGGTCCCAAATACGTTATGTATAGTTTTTGATTTATAAAAAACCAGCAAAACATATCCTTACATCTACTTCGTATTTTTCAAATTTTAATTGTAATCTGTCAGATTAAAGTATGTCAGATGAAAATGAACTAGCTTAAAACATATAATTGTATGATTTTGTTTTAATATTATGACTGAGACATCATAAAACCTAAACTACAATGTAATTACTAACAAGCACATTTTGATGGAAATATCAAACATACAGTGTAAAACGAAATTCCATATCATTATCCTTGCGGTGATATAAATGACGTTCCTAACTCATATACATATAACGTTTTTACAATTTAAAATAATATTATTTAAGAAATAACAACAAACCACCCCATATTTTCAATTATGTCGATAGTGTTTTCAATGTTTTTTGTGCATATTATTTGCTGAATATTTTAATCAACAATAAGAAACATATGAAATTACGTAACGTAAATACAAACATACGTTTATAGTAAAATAAAGATGAAACAATGAAAACCTTATCAAAAATATTTGTTTATCTTATATTGAAGTGAACATTCACCCTTTGATTTTAAAATTTAGAAAATATACGAATTATAAATGTATTTTTCATTAATGTTTTAGGTAAAATTCATAATGACGATTTTTAGAACTCACCAATTGCAATTTTATCTTTACATATTTGCTCAACGATAACCTCCTCTCCTTCAGAATTAATAACTGTTTCTCCGAGAATATCTTTCACCGCTGCCATACTGAACAGCTTAGCTCTAAAACTATCAATGACTGATGTAGACTGACTTCAGCAAAGTGTTTAAAGCACTCTTTACAATAAATCAATGCTCAACAACGTAAAATCTTTCAGTGTTATTAAGCAAATAAATATAAATGTATGTAATGTTTAACATGAGAAATAGTTACATGCGAAAGTTTTTGTTGTTGTTTGTTTCATATTGTTGATAGCATTATACAAGTGTTTTATGCATTTTTTTCATTATCTTTTTTATTTTACTATCAATATTCCTCATTTTTGTTAAAGGCAAAATATTTCTCAGAAACAACGCTTTTTATAAATGGAAGACATGTTATTTTAGAGCATGTTTGATGTTTATCACCTGAAAAAAGCAGTGCTCAATGTGAAATTATTTGTTTCAAAAATATCAAAATGTAGTATTTTGACTTCCATACAAAATACTTAACCACTTTAATTATAGACATAGACAAAAGGCATCAGATCAGAAGCAAAATATGGTTAAGTAAGTTGTCAGGTCAGTAACTTTTTGCGATGACAGTTTTTTGAGAAATAAAATAAAAGCATTTCATTGCATAAAGGGCCCTTAAAATGTTAATTTAATTGCATAACATTGAAGTTTATATTGAAATTCACAATAGTATTGTATTACAGGTTAAATAATTGTCTTAGACATGTCGTTGTTATTCTTTATTACTATTCGTGTCCTTATCTAAATTCGTGTTCAGCCATATCTAGCAAGTTTTTGTGACCATAAACATGTACTATATGGAATGCATACCTGCAAACATATTGCATGAACTTAAAATAAGTTGGCTTGAAATGCTTGTGCACTGTACTAACTTTACTTATCCTACTAACTTACTTTGGCAATAATCAGTTATCACCGATACATTTTATATAATTAAGTAGTTAGATAAAATAACGTGCTTACAGTTTATGCATGATTATTCATTTTACGTCTGATGTGAAAGTGAACAAGAAAAAAAAGAAGAAAAATAGGAAAACTTGTAAAATTAAAAGTTGTCAGAGAATTTTTGATTTCATGCAATCCCGACGATTTTACTTAGTTCACCATTCTGACATAAGCTAAACATTGGCAAAACTACTTTGATATCGCATTTCTTAAGACCGGTTTTACCTTTATCTTTTTCAAAGACACACAACTCCACATAAATCCACATTGCTTTGGGGTGTAACTATTTATTGACAGTTTAATGATCAAATACGAGCTTTATTAAAACATGTCATCCGAACAATTATAGATCTATATGTCCTGTTTTTTCTATTTAGATGAACAAGACATATTGGAAACAAGCAAACAAGTAAGTTAATTCTTCATCTTAATGTGCTGACATTTTATATTAACCTAAATATCAATCATTACTATTCTGCATGACCAAAAAATGTCTCTCAGGGTAATAGAGGCAGAACCAAGGGTATTTTGTCCAGTTCAAGGGCTGCTAATATGCAATGTTTTACCCTGAGTAACATATTTTACCGAACCAACATTTTAACGCAAGTTTCATTTATCATTGATTTATCAGGGGAGAGAACTATTACATTACGATTTTATTAAGTCTATATCAATTACTCGCCCTAGGGGAATATTGAAAATAATATTGACCGGGTGATATTCATTTCCAGAATGATCGATCAAAAAACATAATAATTTTATGACGTCATATTAGGCTATAATGTAAAAGGTTTACATGAGGTATAATAACATCCAAAGAAGCCTCAGGATTTGGTATATCACATGAGAAGTCGATTTTATGTCCTGAATGTTACAAAAGGATCACTCTGATGTTGACTTTGACCTTCAAGAAATGGAGTAACTAGACCGATATGTAAAAGAATTTACAAGAAAAAATAATAACTTACGAAGTATAACTGGAAGTTGGATGTCATGTTCATTAAATTGAAAGTAAATAAAGTAAAAATTTGAAGCTGCTTATTCAGAGACATTAGCCAAACTTGAGCAATACAGGTCATTATCCTATCATCGTGGGTTATGTCAGCTTCACTGTGTTCCCTGACGGTATCACCGTTGAACCCAGGTGAAACCCTCAGGGAACACAGTGAAGTTGACACAATCCACAGTGATATGCCTTTAAGGAGGTCCTTATCGCAGTAAAACCATCGTAGATAGCCTCAGTGAAAGGCTTTTTAGGGCACCGTTCACGGTAAAACCATCGGTGAAAGCCTCAAGCAACACAATGAAAAGATGACACATTCCACGGTGATTTAGTGGGTCCCAATCGCAGTAAAATCCACGGTGAAAGCCTCAGCTGACGCTGACAAAACCAAAGGTGATAGGAATTTTAGGGGGTCCTGATCGCAGTTAAACCAACGATGATAGCCTTAGCAAACAAAGTAAAGCTGACCTAACCCACGGAGATGGAAGTTTTAGGGAGTCCTGATTAAAGAAAGTCCAACAGTGAAAGCCTAAGGCTAGACAGTGAAGCTGATATAACTCATGGAACCTTATAGGCCTTTAAGGGAGTCCTGATCAAAGTTAAACAAACGGTGATAGTCTATCGGAACACAGTGAAACTGACACAACCCATTGTGATAGGACTTTTAGGGGGTCCTGATCACAGTAAACCCCTCGATGATAGCCTCAGGGAACATAGTGAAGCGGACACAAACTAAGGTGATATGCCTTTTACGGAGTTTTAATCAAAGTTAAACCAACGGTGATAGCCTTAGGTAACATATTGAAACTGACACAAATCCCAGTGATAAGCCTTTTAGGGAGTCATGATCAAAGTAAAGCAATGATGGTAGCCTTAGGTAACATAATGAAACTAACACAGCCTACAGGTGATAGGCCTTTTAGGGAGTCCTGATCCAACGTTAATAGCAAAATGGAAAACAGTGAAGCTTACACAACCCACGGCAATACAAAAATGTAGAACTTTAGAAAGTACTGATTAAAGTAAAACCAACAGTGATAGTCTCGGGGAACAAAGTGAAGCTGACACAACTCACGGTGGTAGGCCTTTAAGTAGTCCTGATCAAAGTAAAACCAACGGTGATAGACTAAGAACTAACGGTGATAGACTAAGGGAACATAGTGACGATGACACAACCCACTTTGATAGGCTTTTAGGGAGTCATGGTCAAAGTAAAACCAACGGTGATAGCGTTAGGTAACATAATGAACACGACACAACCCACGGTGATAGGTTTTTTTGGGGTTCCTGATAAAAAAACCAACGATGATAGCCTCTGGGAACAAAGTGAAGCTGACACAACCCACGGTGGAGGGCCTTTCATGGTGTCCTGATCAAAGTAAACCCAAAAATGATAGCCTCAGGGAACAGTGAAGCTGACACAACGCACGGAGATAGGCCGGGGGTTTCCTGATCAAAGATAGACCAACAATGATAGCCTCTGGGAACAAAGTAAAGCTGACACAACGCACGGTGATTTGTCTTTCAGGAAGTCCCGATCAAAGTAAAACCATCGATGATAGCCTCAGGGAACACAGTGAAACTGACACAACACAAGTTGTTGGACTTTAAGGGGGTCCTGATCAAAGTAAAACCAAAAGTGAAACCCTCCGGAAAAAACAGTGAAGCTGACACCCTACGGTTATAGGCCTTTTAGGGAGTCCTGATCATAGTAAACGAACAGTGAAGCCTCAGGGACCACAGTGAAGCTGACACAACCCACGATGATATGCCTTTTAGGGAGTCCTTATAATAGTAAAACCAACGGTGAAAGCCTCAGGGAACACAGTGCAACTGACACAACGAGCGATGAAAGGCCTCTTATATATAGGGGGTCCTGATCAAAGTAAAACCAACGTTTATAGCTTCAGGGAACACAGTGAAACTGATTCAACCCACGGTGATAAGCCTTTAAGGGGGTCCTGACCAAAGTAAAACCAACAAAGTGAAGCTGACACATCCCACATTAAGAACCCGTTTTCAGAAAACGACCTTTGACCTTGCAACTCTTATCACTCAATTCGGACTAAGAATCATACAAAAATCGATAATCGATTATGTTTCTTTATTATTCTTTGCACATTTTTTTAGTTTTAGCTTTAAGTGCTTGTCTTGATTTGTGTAAGAATTTTATGTTTTTAGACTTTTGACCTCAATGAAGTTCTTTTATGATGTCATGGTTTTTTTTGTGTTTAGCACTTTGCAAATACAAATATTTATAACAAATATGACTTTTTTGCATTTGAAATATACTAAGAGAGTCGAATACAGGTATTAACCGTCAAATGATCATTAACTTCATTAGCTGTTCAATGGTATACGTTCATCAACGATATAATAGACAATGCCGCTTTCAATTTTGCAACATCTATTATTTCCCATGCGTAAAAGGATAAGGTCAGAGTTTTATGAAGCACTAAAAATTCCTTTACTAGAGAAACGACCTTTGACCTTGTAAGCATCTATCCAAACAAATGGCGCGATTGCGTCCGTGGTTAATTTGACAGTAAACGCATTGTTAGTCGTCGTAGCCATTACATCAGAAATCTGAAGAAAAAAAAGCTTTTTAAGGATCCAAGCGAATAAAGATGATCTTTCTAAGCTAAACGTTACATTACAATAACAAATTGGGTGAAATTTAGAGTGTAAAGTATTCAGAATAATAACATTATATCAAAGTTTCTGATGAATGCGAAATTTCGAACTGTTTAGAACAAATACGTTTTAACCTGAATTATAGCGTTAGCAAGTCCCTCGGCGTCGGTAAACTGTGAAGCGGTAAAAAGTTGGTCGGTCCCGATACAGGGTCACCAAGATGAAAGAACAGAAAGCACTGTTTACTTCTCACACAGCCAGCAGTGGAAATCATATCAGAAATGTCGTGACGAAATACTGACTGATATGTGTTGTTTAGCTGAAACAGTAACTCGATATTTTATCAACTTTCACCGCTTTCTAAAATTATAAAAAGTAAAAAAGCCCATCTTTACATTGAAATACAATGTATAAAATTTACGTTTTTTTTTAATCAAGTTCATTATAATTCTACTTTATGAGTGCTAGTGGTAGAACAACTATCAGCCGATACATTTGTCCCGTCTGATCATGATCTGGACTGCAGTAAATATTTTAGAATGTTCCCTATTATGATGAATGTCCAGATTGAAACACATACACTTTGGTTGTGGAGCTCCAAAATCCCACGATATACTATGTCGTGGCCACGATATACGTTGCTTATTTTAATCTCATTAGCTGGTGTATGTCACAAAGTGAAAGTACGTTTGTAAAATCTTGCATTATATTTTCACGCCGAACCTCATTTTTACTCATTGTTGTGAGATTGCATCATCTTTTGTTCAATTTAGAGTTTTCGGGTGAAATTATTATTTAGAGTATTTTTATGGTTTGCATAAATTTCCATGTATCAATTTAAACATTTTGCCGTTTATTTCACAAAAATCCTTTCAGTAATAAGAAAGTTACATTTTTGTTTTATGAACCAGATATATGTATTATGTCTGTATTTGAAGGACGGGCCTTTATTTCACATAACTATTTTTCCCGCCGTCCCAGCTTTATTTCGTGCAAATCGATTTTTCATGTTTTGCACGATCTGTTTTCCCGCTCAGTACTCAGTAGTTTGCTATATAATGACTAAATTTTAAGTGACATATTGCAATGCACTGGACGTTATACAGGTCACTATGACGGTGACAGTCAAATTATATTTGTCATAAAATTACAGCTTGTACAAGGTAAATTTAATTTTCTAGTGATTTTGTTTCATAAATTTTTGCTATTTCGTAAAATACTATTTTCTATTAGAATTATAGTTTATTTGATTCAGGTTTAGTTATTTGGCAGTAATTTATTGTTTTCTAAATTTTCTAAATTTTTGCAGATTAAAATTTTAAAAGCTCTTTTTATTCTAGTGTTTCGCTTTTGCAAATTTATACCGAGACATGTTAATTGATGTATGTTAATTGAAGTTTTAATTATATTGTAATTGTATAGGAGCTATGAATATTTTATAGATATATATATATATCTAATCATAAATAATTTATTATGGTTCTACCGTATTTGTGTAACTTTATGTAAAATGCTGCAGTATCGTAATGATTTGTTTCAATCAATTTAATTTAAGTTATCATCTTACTTCATTTCATTTATCATCAGTTTATGTTATAAGTAAATACAACGTATCAAAACTAACGTATCTCTAGAGAAGGATCTTCAGTGGCATGATTTTGGAAGACGTTTATTTATTGGTGGTTATTATGTGGCGTATATTTGAATATATTTGCAACGCAGTATTATGCGGATGTGATAGAATTTTTGTTCCACGGAATGTATGGTGTACTATAGTGGACATTTTGTTTATTCAAAGAAGCACGTTATTTTATTGGAAACCGACAAAGGTCGAGTCTTTTTCAAGGGACTTTATTATACCCTTATGTTTGATTTATCATGGAACTTACCATGTTTTATACTTTGTAGCTTCTTATTTGAGGACACACCCGAAGATGACACGGGCCCTCCACACGTATGTCCATGGCTAAAGGGTGACGCATGCCCTTGTTCAGGATCCTATCAACTGTGCCAACACTGTAGGAAGTACAGTTACGCTTGATAAGATTTTATACAAGACGCCCGCCATTGTGACGAATTTTGTTCAACAACGCCACCACTTTATTGATACATCATGACAGAAACTTTACGGGAGAAATAGACTGAGATACGTTGATAGTGTTTGTTTGCGCAGTGACTTATCATAGTAGTTTATCATATATAATCATTTTTCATTTATAAATATTCATTTCTGTAAATAAATTTGTATATATTTTTCTGTTCTGAGTTGTTGGTTGTTTAGATAGCAATTGTGGTCGGCCTGGTATCCCATCGTAGTCCCTATTGTGACAGTGTAAAACTAATGTTATATTTTCTTTATATTAAAAAAATCTCCATATAGTACACATGTACTTGAGTGAATAAAGACATCTGTCTGTCTGTCTATTTGCTATTTTATGGGCGGGGTTATCGTTGCGCATGTCAATCGGATCTCAAAAGACGCCAAGGACAAGAATGTTTTCCATCCATGAGAGACACATACGAGAAAAAGATCGAAATTCTTTTCATTTGACCTTTTATTTTAAGTCTCTTCAAATTTAAATAATAATGAACCCAATATATATTTTGGAATTCAATGATAATTCTAGACCAGACGTAACAATTGGTTCATAATCATGACTACATGACGCGAAGCACCAATGTTTAAAGTCTAATCGAAAGGACAGTTCGATAATAGTAGCAGGACATCGGATTCGAGCCCCTGAATTTGAAATATGATAAACAAGATCAACAAGGAAAGGCGGCGTTCAAAGTCACAATGTTAATGCTGTACCATCGCGCTAATCTTTACAGTTAATCGATGTTGTTTGTTTTTGTTGTTGTTGTTGTTGTTGTTCTTGTTGATGATGATTTTCGACTTTTTCGACTGCTGCCGGTAAATTTAACAATTTCATTTAAAATGACTGCTCTTCTTTCTACGGAACATCATCAATACAGTTCAGTTCAAGTGCTATTAACCATTAGCCTTCTTAGAGCTACTACAATAGCTTGGTATAGCACCAAGACGCCGAGTACCTCAACGTTTATCCTAGTTAAAACCTATTTGACAGCCTCCCATTATTGCTTTATATCAAGAAAGTTTGATAAAATTTAAACAGAAGACATTAAAGCAGACGTCTTGTCATAAGTATTATAGACTGAGACTGAGCCATAGTTACGTCAGTTGAGTCGTTATGTAAAATTTTCAAAAACAATATTTTGTGTGGAAGAGTGGTAGTGATATTCTCATCAGAGCATTTTAACCCTCTGTGTGCTTGAATCCAGCCATTAATTCAATTCAACATTTTCATTTTGTATAGGAAGGCCACTGGCCCATAATAGAAGTTTATACCAGTAAAGCTTAATGTACGTATCCTAAACACAACCTTCGCATTTATTCATATAAGGCTTTAAGGTCGATGGTTCTATTTTTGTCCTTGTCTATGACTGAAAAACGCACGCTTGGTCACTTGTGGGTCATCATTCAGCAGTAAAGCTACATCGTCTTTGAAATCATGACCTAAATCAGTGTCTGAACTTAGAAAGGGACCATCAGTAAGATAACTCTATTAGATAAGAGTCAATACTGAACTGCCAATATTGAGATCAATTATTAAATCTGTAACTTCTTGCAACTTCGAAATGTTAGAAAATCACCCTTCATATTGTATGAAAGACGGTAATGGGAATAGTCCGCTTCTCAACCAAAGGATCATGGGTTCAAGCAATACTTGGGCCACAACCATGTTTCTTTATATTGTTACAGTATTGGTTAGTTCCAGGAAGCGGACTCAAAAGTGTTGAAATTAACATAAGTTGCAAGATCTTGTTTCGCAATCGAGCTTAAATAAATATTTTTAAACCAAAGACGACATGGTTATCTGACAGTTAGATTTTAAAGCTAGTGTTGTAAATTTTGAAGAAGATACAAACGACCCAGCTTCAGTAATTAAAATAACCAAATGCTTGGTGCTATACCAAGCTATTAACGGAAAGTAAAAAAAAAGAAAACAAAAATACAATAGCTTATTATCATTTTAATATGTTCATAACGTAAAATACGAAGAAAATTAATTAAAATTACGAATAAATGAAGTATGAAAACCGATCAACGGTATCGTGACAGTGAAAATGATTATGACGAAGTAAAAAATGGGCAACTATGTCACATTATAATAATTTCAAATTGTTCATAACATCTGTTTTGTTACCAAAAGCGCATTTCAATATGTTAATTACATGTAGTAACTGTAATATACTAGGATATCTTTATCGAAACAGAAAACTCCCTTATTTGTACATCTTAACTTAAAAACGAATGTAAGAAATAAAGCAAGCACAATAATAAAGACAGACGGAAAGTTAGTTTGAGTATGACGTCATAGTACACTGGAATTTGGACATACCCAAGTGAACAAAAATAGAATGAATAAACAAAATGGTAATAAAACCAATGGAATATAGAAAGTTTATAATTTCAGTCTAGTTCTGGGTAACTTCAGTTTGTCTCATCAATTTACGCTGTTGTTTTCTTTCTTTTTTCGCTCTCCATTTGTTTGCCAGTTTCGCCGTCTTCTTGTCATTCTTGTTTTCCTTTTTATCCTCTCTCATTTCTTTCTTCATTTCTTTCTTCTCTAACTTTCTGGCTTTCTTCTCCGCCTTGTAAGTTTCAAGTTCTTCCGGGGTCATTTGTTTCTTCGTCTGTCTCCATTCCTTTCTTGCTTCCTTTCTTTTCTGTTTCTTTTCCACTTTTCTCGCCTTCATCTCTTCCATTTTGTTTCCTCGTGCTACGTCTTTTTTGGCCCATTTCTCCTTGAAACGTTGAATCTTTTCTTGCTTTCCTTTGCTTTCCCATTTTTCAATTTTGACCTTCCGTTTTTCTTCAATCATTTTTGGTTTATTATCCATTTTCTCAAGACGAGCCTGCTTCTTGGCCTTTCGCCTTGCCTTTTTTTCTTTCCATGTCAATTTTCTGTAAAATTTAATACAAATGTTTAATTCAACGCTACTGTATACGCATGTCATGATAGAATATTTATCCAATCATGTCAATCACTTTATTTATGGTATACTAATAAATTGTTCAATGGTTCAAGTCATGACCCGTGTTCAACATTATTCAAGTGCATATAGTGATTCATCACCATCATATTTTTTTCTCTTTTAAATACTCCAGAAAGTTTGATAATTATGGCAAGATTCGAAAAAGATCTATGCATTTTTTTCTACAAAGAAGTATGAACAGAATTTGTCCCGACAATTTGACATTGTATTGTTTATTTCTTTTATCACAAAAAATATTCAAAGAATTTAAATTTGAAATACTAAGAAAACATTGCGATATTTTACCATTTACAGATTTGGTCAGTGACCCTTGTTAGGTAATAAGAAGCAATAAACAACTGGCGGAGAATACTTAAAATGAAACTAGCGATATTGTAGGTGAAATGAAAAACAACAGGCTGGCGGCAGACATTTTAGTTATCTTGACCAACAAATTATGTTCTGATGTGCCAAAAATACTTATATTTCTCTCTTTACATGCAAACAGTATGTACAGCAGATTATTAATGGCTCTTAAATAATGACACATATGAGAATGTAAACAAAAGCCTTAAATATCTTGAATTTTATTGTATAATTTTGTATTTTACTTACTTGTCCTGTCCATCATCGTCATCATCCTCATCTTCATCGTAATCGTCATCGTCATCATCTTTATCGTAATCTTCATCATCGTAATCCTCCTCCTCCTCCTCCTCATCATCATCATCGAAATCTATCTCAAAAGCTTCACCATCTTCATCGACATCTAATTCGTCACACTCCAATGTAACGTCACGCTTGTTAGTCAGCCAAAGGGGTTCGCAAGAATTGGAGCATAGATTTGAGCTGTAATAAAAAAGCAGAGGTCATCATTTGATAATAAAAATCACCAATTTTATTCTCATATGTAAAACTTAATAAATTTTAATTATTTAGCTTCATGGACGATATAAACAAAGCGAAATAAGCAAAGCAATATTAATGCAAATACTAGTATTGGAACGCAAATGATTTTTGGGAAACATGTATATCATATGTATTTTGTTCACTAGTTCAGACATATTTTATTGTAACTTCTTAATCTATAGTTTTATACTTACAAGCACTCAGCTTCCGGAATGTTTGAGCACGTGGAAAACGTGCAAGGATTCACAACGCACATTACTTCAACACTGTCACACTCTAAAGTAAATAAATGCACAGTTATAAATAAAGATAGAAAAGTCAACCCTGAGTTTATTTTAGTCAAGATTCAGCGTTAGTGGATTTTACGAGTATAAGTTTGCAGGACAAGTGAAAACATTTTTTTAACAAAATATGAATAATATCTCAGCAATTTGACAATATTCATAATATTTTTGCAATCGGAACATCTTGGCTATTGCCAATGGCCTAGAAGATGCGAGTGTGTACTTTTGTACACAAAATAGCTGTTGTTGGTAGCATTTTTTTAAGAAGTGTAGCTACTGACTAGTTTAGACTGGAATATTTGTTTTGTTCATACATCACAGGTTCACGAGTTCGAGTAAAATAAATATACATGTTTTCAGTGACGATAATGCGCCACAAAATCTACTCTTGCTTTACCGTTGTATAGAAGTCGCATTGCATAAAAGTCGTTGGGTAATTTCCGATAGCATAAGGATGAAATTTAACTAATCTAGCAATTAAGTCAGGAAAACAAAAGAAACTAGTTTTAAAATACATAATAAGATTCTTTGATTTAAATGAGGTTACTAACCTGGTGTGGTACACATGGAGCCACAACATTTATCAGTCCCATTACAATGAAAGTCCGTGACACATTCCTGCTGTGACACTCCCGTCGTGACAGCTCTTATGATGGACGGGCAGTACCCCGGCTTCTCTTCTAAAACATACAAAAATGTAAGATACTACTAAACTACTGTAAATTAACTGTACATCAAATTGCAATTGTTATATGTGGGTAAAAAAGCATTCAAAATGTTAAAAAAGGCTGATAAAGATAAAGTTTTCATCTGGGTAAAAAGTTATTTTATTACTTTATTGTGCTAATTATGTGGCCCGTCTACGTTTTCTTCATGCAATGGGATAATTTCTTTACACAAACGTTCGGGATAATTGTTTTTATTCACGAAACAGTCGTGAAATGTTTTGTTTTAAGAGTATATGGCATCTTTAAATGGCAAACAGAAAACATATTGCAACAGAAATGCTATAGTAAATTTCATGATACGGGAAAATAATCCAAAAGAAAAGGCAAAAAGACTAAAAATTTAAGTTTTTTTTTAACTTACAAAAATAATCAATAAGTGCATGTACTTTTACCTATACTTTTTAAACCAGACTTAAAGTATCATAATAATATACATTTATAGCAAAATAATGCATTAATAGATTCAAAGTTAATAATCTGAAAGAATATAGCCACTTTACCAAATAATTGTCACTTTGTTTAGTTCGACAAATTCTTAATTTGTTCACCGTAAACATAAATATTTCAACAAAATATACAAACTGTGTTAACATTTGTTTATAAAAAAAATACAATTTATATTCTAATTTATATTCAATGACAGACTATTAGAAAAGTGTTAAATGATAGTGTATGTAAATTTATTTTCTTACCTGCAAAAACAGCAGCAAACAATGCAAAAATCCAAATTCCTATCTTCATTTTCGAACTTTCTCTCAATCTTTCTTGGAGGTAAAACAGGCTTTGTTAAGAATGGATGCTTAGCCTGGTTTATATACCCGCGTATGATCAACAAACATGCACGCACAAATGTTATCAATTATCCATCAACTATCACTTATCTGCCAATCACAAGGACGGGTCAAGAGCGTTATAGTCAAAGGTGTATGCGTCATCCCTTATACTAAAAAATAGACTGGCAAATACCTCATTCTCAAATATATAACATTAAGGCTTATGTATGCTTAAATTTTTTGTACAATTGATAAGTAATGCTGAAAATCGAACAGCGCGACACACATCCATGTCTGAAGATAAAAAGACAAAGTACAAATTATATATGCATAATTTCACTGACAGTAGCTGTTAATAATCATGTACTTTTCTAAATATAAAATAAGTCAATTGTTCAGAGATTCCCTTGCTATGACATCAAAAGCCAAGTTATGAAAAGAAAAATCTTGTAAGCGTTTAGATTCGGAAAAAAATCTAAGCATCCGTTCTTGGTCTCAGAATAAAAAAGTAATAAAAAATGTCTATTTAGATAACATTTATGATTATATATTTATATATCTTATAAATTGTTGTTTGTTTTTTTATTGAATGAAAGCCTAAATTGTCGGATCTGACTTGAAGCTTAACGTGCTAGCTCTATACCGTCGTTTGACGAGCCTATGCTTGGGTTATGAACTCTAAACTTTCTGATCGTTTCTCTGAAAGAATCATTCATTCACTTACTTGATTGGTGTCTTATTAGCACTTAAGTATGGTGGCTGATTTGTGCCATTCGTGTTTTCGCCCCGCGACCCCGCCAAGCGAAAAGTCGAAAATTAACAAGTAAAATGGCGGGGACGCGCAGCGAAAACACGCTAAAAAGCGAGGGCGCGGGGCGAAGTTTAATAAATAAAACTTCGCCGCGCGGGGGCGCGGGGCGAGATTTAGGAAATAAAACGGCGGGGGCGCGGAGCGAAAACACGCTTATTAGCACCCTCGCTAATTAGCGTGTTATCGCTCCGCGCCCCCGCCATTTAAACATGTTAATTATCGACTCTTCGCTTGGTGGGGTCAAGGGACGAAAACACGCAAATTAGCTGGGGCGCGTCGCGAAATTTATTTATTTAATTTCGCCCCGCGCCCCCGCTTATTATCGTGTTTTCGTCCCGCAACCCCGCCGTTTTATTTCTTAAACCTCGCTCCGTGCTCCCGCGGGGCGAAGTTTTATTTATTAAATAAGTAAGTTTGAGATAAAACAAATTCTCCTATTCTACAAAAGTACGAGTTATAAAAATGTGTGCATTTGGTTTAGATTTTGCTCAATTATGTCACTATATGAACAAAGGTACGTCTGCGCTTATCAGGACTATATAACGACGTATTTAGATCTTTATCTTTGCCAATTTGAATAAAGACATGCGTATATCACACAGAGCTTAGAACCATGCCAGACTGCATGTCACTAAACTGTTAATTAGCTGATCAATTTTATCATTTTAGATAATGAAACTTACTATTGATGTTTCCTTATTTAGAGAATAACAAATCCATTTCAAAAACGCAACAAAGAAAAGTTTATTTTACTGCATCACATGATTTCTTAGTAATCTTAAACGAGGCCGTGTGGTTAACAAGTCGAAAAATAGAATTTCTGGCCGCGTCGGTTTATACCCCGTCAGGTGCAAGCCGTTGTTTCCTTTACACTCATTACCTAGTACTGGCTTAATACTTCCAAAACAATCGAACTAAAATAAATTCGTATAGTACTTATGATAAGCCCACGTAGTGAACGGAAATTGGGAATAATATGAATGCAGCAAGTCTACAAAAACATCAGCGGGGTATTTACTCCAAGAGTATTTACTACCATCTGGAATTTTACACTGATCACCTTTCCTGAAATCTCATTGGTCAGTTCAAGAGCCAATAGAAATCTCTTAGAATCGTACTATGTTTTTGTTTACAAACAGACTCGCATGAGTATTAGTCATTTTGACCTCCCTGACCGCATGGTGGATGCATTATAAACTTTGAAATAGTGCTCTAATGTCAGGCAAGTGTCAAAATATAGCCAGATTATTTGATCATATATAATTGAACAAAAGACCCATTTTACAAACTCTTTTTTAATCATGATTCTCTTATTATCAGAGACTTATAATACAACTTTACATAGCTCTGTGATATTATACTGTAATAAATGTATGCAACAACAATAGCACATTACGAAGCTCCATTTATATAAGTTGACATATTCTTGATGGCAAAGCATTGAAATTCAATTTATTTTCATGATTTTATGACAAAACTGTTTAATTTAGATAATAAAATCTTGTTTTTTTATTCCAAAAAGGTTGTATTTCAATGTAACATGCCTAATAATTTTAGGATATTATTAAGTCAGTTAAAAACATGCAAAATTCTTAAATTTTGCGAAGTCGTTTATCGCAGATTTTATTGTTACAAGTTTCTTTGAAAAAAATTTTTTTAACTCATGCCCCCTTATAAATTTTTACAAGAAACAACCTTTAAAAGGTTTTTGGAACCCCCCCATTTCCTAAAAATGAAGTTTTTATGCCATATAATTTTGACAACAAGAATATGGTTTTCTTGCAGGAAAAGAAAAACATGCTTCAGCATTCTGCAAATAATATCTCATTTTAATACTCATTTTTTTAACAAATATCTTGATATTTTGATATTTTATTTGATTATACATCTATAAATTTTGTTTAATGATTCTGTATTTAACAGGTAGTTCAGATTTTTGACCATTTTACCATAAGTATTTAACAATGTGTTCTGAAATAAAAGAATTTACCAATTTTGAGAAACATGCGTTAAGATGATAATGATGATGATGATGGTGATGATGATGATGATGATGATGATGTTGTTCTTGTTATAAAGTCTTTTTTTTTTCATTTCATATACAAATGTTATTCAACAGATTGTTTACATTTTTAAAAGATGTTTAGACTAAAATAATATACATGTACATGCAACAAACTGTTAAATTCAACCACGTGGTAAAAGACAGTGATTTGTTGTCGATGATATGGCGTATTCAAAATTAAAGTGTATAAAGCTATATATCTGATGCAAAAATTATTGTTTGGATTTTAAAAAAAGAATACAAAATGCTTGTATGAAATAAAAATGGCAATAGATTGGCTTAAAGCGAGTGGCGCATGCACAAAGTCATTGGGAAACGAATAAAATCCTACCTAAAATAGCCAAATAATATTTTGTATACTGTACATAACTTTTCTTAGTATTCCCTATGGCACTTTTAACTTACGCTATAATGATAAAAAGTAAACAATATTTACAATATTATTCATAAACATTTACTCATATATTTTAAATTTTTAAAGCACTCAATTAGATATCTTGTAGTGTTTATATCTTTTCCAATGTCTTAGACACAATAAATACAAAATTATATCGTGCAAACATTCTTTTTTTAACCATCAGTACTGTCACATTATACAACAACATATCTGAAACACCATATAACAGCTGTACTGTCACACCATTATATAACAGCTGTACTGTCACACCATTATATAACAGCTGTACTGTCACAAAACCATATAACAGCTGCACTGTCACACCATCATATAACAGCTGTACTGTCACACCACTGTCACCATTATATAACAGCTGTACTGTCACACCATCATATAACAGCTGTACTGTCACACCATCATATAACAGCTGTACTGTCACACCACCATATAACAGCTGTACTGTCCCACCATCATATAACAGCTGTACTGTCACACCATCATATAACAGCTGTACTGTCACACAATCATATAACAGCTGTACTGTCACACCATCATATAACAGCTGTACTGTCACACCACCATATAACAGCCGTACTGTCACACCATCATATAACAGCTGTACTGTCACACCATCATATAACAGCTGTACTGTCACACCATCATATAACAGCTGAACTGTCACACCATCATATAACAGCTGTACTGTCACACCACCATATTACAGCTGTACTGTCCCACCATCATATAACAGCTGTACTGTCACACCATCATATAACAGCTGTACTGTCATACAATCATATAACAGCTGTACTGTCATACCATCATATAACAGCTGTACTGTCACACCATCATATAACAGCTGTACTGTCACACCATCATATAACAGCTGTACTGTCACACCATCATATAACAGCTGTACAGTCTCACCACAATATAACAGCTGTACAGTCTCACCACAATATAACAGCTGTACTGTCACACCATCATATAACAGCTGTACTGTCATACCATCAAATAACAGCTGTATTGTCACACCATCATATAACAGCTGTACTGTCATACTATCATATAACAGCTGTAATGTCACACCACACAAAATTGTTTCGTGCAAACATTCTTTTTTTAACCATCAGTACTGTCACATTATCCAACAACATTTCTGAAACACCATATAACAGCTGTGCTGTCACACCATCATATAACAGCTGTACTGTCACACCATCATATAACAGCTGTACTGTCACAAAACCATATAACAGCCGCACTGTCACACCATCATATAACAGCGGTACTGTCACACCATCATATAACAGCTGTACTGTCACACCACCATATAACAGCCGCACTGTCACACCATCATATAACAGCGGTACTGTCACACCATCATATAACAGCTGTACTGTCACACCATCATATAACAGCTGAACTGTCACACCATCATATAACAGCTGTACTGTCACACCACCATATTACAGCTGTACTGTCCCACCATCATATAACAGCTGTACTGTCACACCATCATATAACAGCTGTACTGTCACACAATCATATAACAGCTGTACTGTCACACCATCATATAACAGCTGTACTGTCACACCATCATATAACAGCTGTACTGTCACACCATCATATAACAGCTGTACTGTCACACCATCATATAACAGCTGTACTGTCATACCATCAAATAACAGCTGTATTGTCACACCATCATATAACAGCTGTACTGTCATACTATCATATAACAGCTGTAATGTCACACCACACAAGATTTGTACTGTCACACCATAAAACACATGCACTTTCACCACGCAACAGCTGCAGTTTCATACCACACGGCATCTGTAATGTCACATCATACAATATATGTACTGTCATACCATACAACAACTGTACTATCACATCATACAACACCTGTACTGTGACACCATACAACACCTATACTGTTACACCAAACAAATATTGTACTGTGACACCAAACAATACCTGTACTGTCACACCATACAAATACTGTATTTTTGTAAACAGATTGGATGTATTTGCCATCGTCGCTGTTTGCTTGAGTTTTGTTGGTCCAAATTCCATCTCAAATGTAGACTTGTAGTTTTCATCTGCATAGGAGACATTTCTAATTACAAAACGCCCATGGACGGTAACTTTTGATGTTTCTAATCTGTTTTTATCAAACGAAATGTCAACATATATTGAACTCAATGAACCATTGCTATAGACAGAAACCTTACAATTTCCACAAAGTTCAAAATCTCGAATTGCGTTGTTTGTAGCGTTTTGGATTTCTTTAAATCATCGACATTCAATTTAAGATGTATGGATTTGCATTTCCAACCTTGATTTATCTCGATGTGTTGCTGCTCTGTGCGGGAAAAACCAGATTTAAGGTAATTGTACATACCCTCTAACCATAATTTCTGCTCTCTGACTTAATCCAGACGCCACATCAATTTATCCAGGATCTTTGGAACGATTTTTGAAGGTAAAAGAATGTTTGCCGAAATAACATCTTTGGCAGATTGTTCTGGCAACTCCTCACACAACTTGACTAATAAATTTTCCATAAATTAAAAAAATCGCAGCTTTTCCCGCCCAAAATCAAACTTGTGTCGTCTGCTGGAATTCTTTTTTTAGTCACTTATAAAGGGGAACTCTCGCAATTTTGGGTTTTAGAGTAGTAACCTGATATTCCTCGGCCAGAGGTAACAATTTGTACACGTTCTCATCAGATATACATTCGCTCATACCGGGATAAATTGACCTTAGAAAATCTCGCATTTCTCGCACCTTTTTTCCGGGAAGATTCAATTCTGTTTGATATTTTTCTCTAAAGTCTGACTGAAACATTTGATCAAACACTGGAGAGGCAAGTGCCAAAACAGCCTTAGACACGAACAGCTTCTCGCCTTCGACAATCAGAGCGAAATCTTCTTTCCAAATTCGTTCACTAAAATCGACAGTAGATTTATCATTGGCTGTTTTAATGTCAGACGATTTCTCCTCGACTGTAATGCTACCATCACAGCTTGAAGAAGATTGTTGTGAACTTTTATCCATGTCCGACTTTAAATTTTCATATATTCCTTTTTATTCTAAAAGCACTGTTAGACTGTTTAGTCTGCTAACATGTTTGAACGACCTGTTATGTTACCAAGTCCTTATCTTCACTCCACTTAAACTGTGAAAAGAAATTCAGGTGACGACGGGTAGAGTTTTAGAAATATTTATTCTCAAATATGAAATAGCTTTTCTGACCGAGCTTTAAGGAATCGAAATAGACATTTAACTTAAGTCATCGTTTACCTTAAGTGATAGTACCATGTTAGAATAAATATCATATTCTTTTTATTTTTATAGTTTTTATCTATAATAAATAACGCGTGAATGAGCCAGTCTATATTCAAATGACGAACAAGAGGTATGACTAAAATACGCAACGGAGTTTGTTTGTTTCTTTGTTTGCTGTTTTTTTATTTATTTATTTTTTTTATTTTTTTTTTTTTTTTTTTTTTTTTTTTTTGCTATTTTTTGTTGTTAATGTTTCTGGTTGTTTTTTTTTTTTGTTGTTTTTTTGGGGTTTTTTTTTGCGCAACGGACATTTTGTTTAAAATGTATCACAAATATTTGCAATAGGTTGTTTTGACAATTAGATTTTTTATCATATTTAGTGGTTGTATACCTAAATTCCTCATTAAGTAAATTGTAAACAAATATGCAATCTTGTGTTTAATCAAATAGTTTAATCTTTTTAAATAAGTAAACAATATGTAACTAAGATTTGATTATATTTAACAATTTATTCATAACTATTATTTGATATTACAGACATATTTTTGCTATTTGTATAATAATAGAACAGTTTGTCCTCAAAATCATTCGAACATTATACAATTCGTACAATATTTCGACCTAATATCAACATTTTTAGGCCACTTTTAAGTAAGTAAGTCACCACCTTTAAGTAAGTATACCAATCATTTCATTTTTACTTGTTATCATATTTATTTCGCTTCATCCGTCTTAAAAATGATATAATATCCATCTTCCGCAACGCATCGTTAACTGGTTTTAACTTAAAACCAGTCATGATAAATATCTGTAGTGTTATATAAAAGTTTAAATCCGAGCACACATTCACAACTGTGTTTATAACGTTATCAGTATATTGACTGGAGACCTAATCAGAAACAATTAATAAATCATTCTTTTATTTACTCATTGCCAAATCAGTTTTATAAATTGCATTCAGATGTTTACAAATTGATAATGAGAAAAACACGTCAATAATGTATATATATATATTAATTTGTATCATTTAAGATTATGTTAATCAAATTAAAACAACAAATAAAAAGGCAGTAGCAAGATTGTTTCAGTTTAAAAGTTAGATTAGGAAAGAAAATTTACCTTCGCAGCATTGACTTTTATGTTTATTTAGGAGTTTATGCAAGTACATTTTCTTTCTGTTTACTATCCGTTGACATATCATTCAAGAAGGCTATGTTTTTGTCTGAGGTCTTTACGTTTGTAATACAGTATAATAGCATGTTACATCGTAGTTCATAAGTTGAATTACTTAAGTATTTTTGTCTAAACTCAAATTAGCAATCAGTATTTAATTCAAAAACTTGTAATGTGCCTATATCCCCCAATTTAGTGGCTGTTACCGTGGCATATTTACGTACTTACACACTCGTACATGTAATTTATCAGAGTCAAGTGCTAAATAAGTAAGGTATGTATATGAATGTGCAAGCGTGCGTGAGTGCGCGTGTTTGAAATACAATGTTAATATGTTTTACAAACTGTCTGAGCGAGGACACTACTGTTCTTGGTGAGACAAGTATTTCATGCGTATCTGTGATTTTGACGTTTTGGTCTCAGAATCGAAAATGGTCATAAACTAGTTATGACATACCCCGGTACCACATCTTCGACTACAGGCCAAAGCGTTCCCTTGTTTTTCGGTTCGTCAATCTTTCAGTGGTCAAGTGACTACCATTGGACCTACTGACCTCAATTTCAATAGGGGAAATACTTTTATTAGTACTTACCATGACTTTCCTCCACACTTAATTTTAGGACTGTAGACCGAAACTTTTCTCGAGTTATTAGTCGAATGAAATTTTAGTGGTCAAGGCCGCGTTGACCTTGACCTTTGGCTCACTCACCTTATCGCAGAGGAGCCATCTGATAGTTATAACAAACTGTATTCGACAATATGTTGGGGAAAAAAGAATTGTTTTGAAGCCTTAAATGATAAAATTTAAGACAATTCGTTTGGTCCTATTTCGACAACCATCAGTATTGTATCCTGATAATAACTTAATAAGATAACTTCAAATTACAGACATAATATAGCCTGTGATGTATAATATATAGACGATATTGTAATAAAATACAGTACAACTTCGGAAAGTCGAAGCTCAATGGACTTACATAAAATTTCGACGTATCGAGACTTCGAATTCGTCATAAAAAATCTCAAAGCTCACTAAAGAAAGCAAGTTATTTAATGACAGCTTCGAGCAGTTGAAACAGACGGGGAAACAAACATCACAATTTGAGATGCTTTGTACGTGTTCAAAACAGCTTGGCATGCTGTCAGTCCTCAGACTTGCTAACAGCTTCCGACATGCTGGATTCCAGCGGTCTCCAAATTTCCGATTCAAATGGCTGAGGACGACCCTGAAAATGACTTATCTTTGTCAACTCTGAGACGTAAGACCTCTGGTGTTGAGTGATTTGTTAAGTAGATAACATCTTAGAAGAAGACTTACCGAAGTTTTACGGTATGTTTTATTTTATTTATACTGTGTTTTTCAAATAAACAATGTTTTTATGAAAAGAAAAAAGAAAAACAATTATGAAGATCCGGTCTGTTGAATCATCTTTGGATATAAACCTCGAGATGCATCAATATAAAACATTATTTATTTTTGGTCTCAATGGTCTTTGACACATTTCGTACAAAATTTGATCATGTAAACAATCTATTTATAAACAGCTGTACTGTGACGCCATGCAACGGCTCTACTGTCTCACCATACAATAGCCCTACTGTCACACCATGCAACAGATTTACTGTCACACCATACACCAGTTGTTCTGTCACATCATACAACAGCTCTACTTTCATACCATACAACAGTTGTATTTCACGCCATACAACAGTGTACTGTCACAAAATATAACAAACATACGATCACAACATAAATGTAAAGGCATAAAGATATATACATGTACCTTATTTATGGATTTACTTGACTTGCATGTAGAATATAATTGGTTATATATGTATGTTTATCATATCTTTGTTTAAAATTCAGCTATGAGTATGACTATATGCAATTTGAATCTTTATGTGCACAAACTGAGATTGTGCGAATAAAATTTGAAACTTTTATCTTTTTATATTTTTTCTTCCTTTTCAAAAGAAGTCATATTATCATGAGTACATGACAGTTAAACAGTTATTAACTTTCGACATTACAATATTTGAAAATGTTATTACATTTTAAGGCTACATGTATCTGAATAGTTGACCATATTTGCAAATTATATGTTTCGAAACAACTCTTTATAATACTGATATAATACTTATATAGATGCATTATAATATTGACACTGTTTATAATTCACCACAAATGCACGGGCGAGGAACTGTTACACGAATGATGGAGTTCTTTTGATAACTTGTCAGAAGTTCTTGTGATAACTGTTACGGAGTAAAAAAAATGGACTATAAATTATATTTGGACCATAATACAAAATGTAAGGCAAACTTAGTCATCAATGTTTAATTAAGCACCTCAAACTCTTTTTTTAAAGATTAAAATTACCATTTTTGACGAGTGTTTCTTTAGTTTATAAAAAAGGTTTTCCGACGAACTCCGTAACAGTTATCACAAGAACGAACTCCTGACTAGTTATCTATCATAAGAACTCCATCCCTCGTGTAAAAGTTCCTCTCCAGTGAAATGTACATAATCCAAAATTTGATGCAGTTTTGTTTGTTTCCACTTCATCTAAGTCACGATCTTAGTTAACATATTATTTGTTGACATCAAATGGTAAGTTCAGTGACGAAAATAGTATCACCAACTGTCAAAACAGTCATTCAAAGCTTTAAAAAAAACTCTAAGATATTTCTGTTTCCAAAACTGTCTCATACATTAATGAAATGTAAGAGTTAGCATATTTAGTAAACAAATTTCAACTCCTGTAACTTTTTTTCACTAAGTATAGAATTCTCTCGTGTACATAACAATTGTTTTTAAATAGTTTTTCATGGCTTTATTTCAAATATTACGTAACTATGTAATGCAATGACATGCCATACTATTGATACGTTAAATTATCCGATTTTCTTCAAATCATAGAAAGCTTTACGATGTACACTATTCTACGCTATTCTACCTCTTGTGTTGGCTTACTTTGACTATAAGATGAACTTCTGCGTCCAAAGAATTGTACTGCAAATATCCGGCTGTTTTCGTAAACAGATTGGATGTATTTGTCGTCAGCGTCGCCGTTTGCTTGCGTTTGGTTGGTCCAAATTCCATCTCGAATGTAGACTTTAAGTTTTCATTTTCATAAGTGATGTTTCTTATAACAAATCGCCCATGGACTGTAACTTTTGATGTTTTCCATTTGTTAATATCAAACGAAATGTCAACATATAATTGATTTGCATAACGTGTGCTATACACAGAAACCGTACAGTTTTCCTCAAAGTCCAAAAGCTTGAATTTCGTTGTTTGTGGCATGTCAGGTTTCCTTAAATCATCAACATTCAATTTAAGATGTAGGGGTTTGCATTGCCAGTCTTGATATATCTCGAGTTTTTGTTGCTGTGATTGGGAATAACCAGATATAAGGTAATTGTACATACCCTTATACCATGTCTTCTGTTCTCTGACGTGTTCTAGACGCCCCATCAATTTATCCAGGATCTTCGGAAAGATTTACGAAGGTATGAGAATATTTGCTGAAATAACAGCTCTGGCAGACTGTTCTGGAAACTCCTCACACAACTTGACTAATAAATCTTCCATATTATAAATCGCAGCTGTCTGCAACATCATTTTCGTGTCGTCTGCTGTAAGTTCTTTGTTAATTCTACTTATAAGGAATCTCTCGCATTTGGCTGTCAGAGTAGTCACCTGATATTCCTCGGCCAGAGGTATTAATTTGTAAACGTTCTCATCAGATATACATCCGCTCATACCGGGATAAATTGATCTCAGAAAATCTCGCATCTCTCGCACCTTTTTTCCAGGAAGATTCAATTCTGTTTGATCTTTTTCTCTAAAGTCTGACTGAATCATCCGATTGAATACCGGCGACAGAAGTGCCAAAACAACCTTTGACACAAACAGCTTCTCGCCTTCGACAATCAGAGCGAAATCTTCTTTCCATGTTCGTTCACTGAAATCGAAAGTAGATTTATCATTGCCAGACGATTTCTCTTCGTCTCTAATGCTACCATCACAGCTTGAAGAAGATTGTTGTAAACTTTTATCCATGTCTTAATATAATTTTTCATATATTCCTTTTTTCTTAAAGAACGACCTGTTATGTTACCAAGTCGTTATCTCCACTCCTGTTAAATTGTGAGAAGATATTCAGGTGACAACGGGCAGAGTTTAACCATTAATATTATTATTAAACTTAAAAACCGAGCACACATTCACGAGTATTTCAATACATTCGAGGTAATCAATACATTGATCTCGGCCTCTTCAATTACATATATTCAATACTTCTTTCATCTATTCATTCACTCATTGTCAAATCAATTTTTAACAATTTATGAATAGATATCGTGAGAAGGACGCGTTAATAACTTTTACATGACTTTGTATATATACAATATAATTTAGAACATGTAAATTGTAACCGTTAACACAACAAATTAGAGACAGGAGCAAGATTGGTTGAGTTTAATAGTTAACCTTCGCTGCATTGGTTTTTTATATATATTTAGCAATACATGTATACCATGCCTTGACATATTTTGTTCAATAAAGAGCATGTTTTGTCTGAAGTATTTCTGTTTGTTATACAATAATATGATCGCAATTTATACAAATAAGTTGAATAACTTAAGTACTTTTTGTCTAAAACTGTGACAATCAGTATTTAATCTAAACCATACTATACTCAGTGGCTGTTACCGTGACATATTTACATGCTTATGTATGCATGTATTTTATCAGAGTCAATTGTAAGATTTATAAGTAATGCAATGTGTCATATTACTAAGTGATATGTGTGTGTGCGTGCGTGCGCGTGTGTGTGTGTGTGTGACGTGCGTGCCTGCGTGTTTGAAATAACAAATATTACAACTTGTATGTTTTGCAAACTGTATGACCGAAGAAACTATTGTCATTGATGGGACCAGTATTCCATGCGTCAGTATGGCCTTGTTCTCTTGACCACAGAATCAATATGGGTCATATACTAGTTATGACCAACCTCGACACCAAATCTTAGGACTACAGGACAAAGTGTTCTCTGGTTATTTGGTTCATTTAACTTTTATTGGTCAAGGCGGTGGTGGTGACCTTGCACTTTGGACCAATTACCTTAAATTTGTAGGAGCCACCGACTAGTTATATCAAACTGTATGGGACAATCTGATAGAAAAAAATGTTTTGAAGATTCAAGATAAATCGTTTGGTCCTATTTCAACTACGCTAAGACAACCATCAATATTGTATCCTGGTAATAACTTAATAAGATAACTCCAAATGAAATAGATTATATAGCCTGTGATGTATAGGATATAGGCGATCTTGTAAAAAGAATACAGTAGAACTTCGGTAAGCCGAAGCTCAAGGGACTTATACTAAAACTTCGACGCATCGAGACTTCAACTTGGTCATAAAAAATCTCAAAGCTCACTATATAAAGCAAGTTATTCATTGACAGCTTCGAGAAGTTGAAAAAGATGGGAAAACAAACATCTAGGTTTAAGATGATTTGTACATGCTCAAAACTGCCCACATGGGTCAAGTTAGGAAACCACCCTTTTTCCATATCACGAGAAAAGTTGTGTTCCTGTGACTACCTAGTGTATTCATTTTGAGGACATTTATATTATAATGAAGGAAAAATCCAAAACGAATAAATGAAACTTTTGCCTGTGTCTCCCTTTAAAATTCAGCAATGAGTATGGCCATATGTATTTTATGTCTATACTTGTACACACTGAAAATATGTAAATAAAACATAAAAATTACTTGAAATATTCTACTTTTGTTTTAAAAGAGAAGTCATCTAATCATGAGTTCATGGCAGTTAAACAATAATCAATATTCGACATTCCAATATTTAGAAATTTCATTACATTTTAAAGGTTACATTTATGTGAACAGTTGACAATACTTGCATATCACTTGTTTCGCAATACTTTGAAATAACTCTCAATAATATTTATATACATGTATTATTCAGAAAGTAACGGTAAATATTTTGTTTATTTGCTGACTTAACGCTGTTTAAAGTTCACAACTGCACATATCTCAAATTCTGATGCAGTTTCGTTTCCACTACATCCAAGTCACGATCTTAGTTTACAATCATGTATTTCAATAGCATCAAATGGTAAGTTCAATAACAAAATTATTATCACCAAAATAACTGTGAAAAGAGTCCTTGAAAGTTCTACAAATCTTAGATATGTCTGTTTCCAAAACTATTTCAGATACCGGTATTAATGAAATGTTAGAGTTAGTATATTTAGTGAACAGATTTGGCCTCCTATAGACTTTCTTTGTTTATCACTAATTGCAATACTATTTTAGTTTTCTCTCGTGTACATAACTATTGTTTACGAGTTTATAGATTTTATAGCTTTTGTTTTCAAAGATAATGTATGCAATGAATTCCTTGCTGTGCAATTCTTAAAAGTAGCTTGACTTATCTGTTGTACTTCAAATACAGGGAAATAATAAGGCTGTACGCTTTTATACCTCTTGTATTTTGGCTAAAAGATGAACTTCTGCGTCCATAGAATTGTAGTGCATATATCCATATGTTTTTGTATACAGATTGGATGTATTTGCCATCGTCGCTGTTTGCTCCAGTTTTGTTGCTCCAAATTCCATCTCAAATGTAGACTTGTAATTTTCATTTTCATAGCTGACATTTCTGATTACGAATCGCCCATGGACTGTTACTTTTGATGTTTCTAATGTGTGCTTATCAAACGAAATGTCAACAAATATTTGACTCAATGTGCCATTGCTATAAACAGAAACCTTACAATTTTCCTCAAAATCCAAAAACTTGAATTGCGTTGTTTGTAGCGTTTTGGATTTCTTTAAATCATCGACATTCAATTTAAGATGTATGGATTTGCATTTCCAACCTTGATATATCTCGAGATTTTGTTGCTCTGTGCGGGAAAAACCAGATTCAAGGTAATTGTATATACCCTCATACCATAATTTCTGCTCTCTGACTTGGTCCAGACGCCCCATCAATTTATCCAGGATCTTTGGAACGATTGTCGAAGGTAGAAGAATTTTTGCCGAAATAATATCTCTAGCAGACTGTTCTGGCAACTCTTCAAACAACTTGACAAATAAATCTTCCATATTATAAATCGCAGCTGTCTGCAACATCATCTTCGTGTCGTCTGCTGTAAGTTCTTTGTTAAGTCTACTTATAAGGAATCTCTCGCATTTGGCTGCCAGAGTAGTCACCTGATATTCCTCGGCCAGAGGTAGTAGCCTGTACACGTTCTCATCAGATATACATTCGCTCATACCGGGATAAATTGACCTCAGAAAATCTCGCATTTCTTGCACCTTTTTTCCAGGAAGATTCAATTCTGTTTGATATTTTTCTCTAAAGTCTGACTGAAACATTTGATCAAACACTGGAGAGGCAAGTGCCAAAACAGCCTTAGACACGAACAGCTTCTCGCCTTCGACAATCAGAGCGAAATCTTCTTTCCAAGTTCGTTCACTGAAATCGACAGTAGATTTATCATTGGCTGTTTTAATGTCAGACGATTTCTCCTCGTCTGTAATGCTACCATCACAGCTTGAAGAAGATTGTTGTGAATTTTTATCCATGTCTGACTTTAAATTTTCATATATTCCTTTATATTATAAAAGCACTGTTAGACTGTTTAGTCTGCCAACATGTTTGAACGACCTGTTATGTAACCAAGTCCTTATCTTCACTCTAGTTAAACTGTGAAAAGAAATTCAGTTGACGACGGGCAGAGTTTTAGAAATATTTATTTATATTGAAAAATTATTAGACGCCGCAAGCACGCGGCTAGTAGATATGTATTCGTATTCTCAGCAATGGGGAAAATTTTAGTCTTGCTTTTGTCTATTTTTTTTTTTTTACAAAATCACAGTTTTCATATTCTCAAATATAAAATAGCTTTTCTGACCGAGCTTTAAGGAATCGAAATAGACGTTTAACTTAAGTGATCGTTTACCTTAAGTGATAGTACCATGTTAGAATAAATATCATATTCTTTTTATTTTTATCGTTTTTATCTATAATAAATAACGCGTGAATGAGCCGGTCTATATTCTAATGACGAACAAGAGGTATGACTAAAATACGCAACGGAGTTTGTTTCTTTGTTTGCTGTTTTTTTTATTTATTTATTATTTTTTTTTTGCTTTTTTTTTGCTTTTTTTTGTTGTTGTTGTTTCTGTTTTTTTTTGTTGTTGTTTTCTTGGGTTTTTTTTGCGCAACGGACATTTTGTTTAAAATGTATCACAAATATTTGCAATAGGTTGTTTTGACAATTAGATTTTTTATTATATTTAGTGGTTCTATACCTAAATACCCCGGTAAGTGAATTGTAAACAAATCAATCGCAACTACTCGGCCCTTTCCGTCAGTCTTCGGATAAGGACCTCGAACACAATAGTATGAATACACAGAACGGATGCGGTATTTCGGTCTAACCTACGCTAAGAAACTAAACATGTAAACAAATAGTAATTTAATGCTGGGAGTTGTTGACAAGTTTTTTCCAATATATGTGGTAAAAGTCCACCTTAAATAGGTGAATGCATAGGTACAAAAGCAAACAATACATTATTTATATATTTATTATTATGGTTGTAGAAACCGAAAGTACAAAAAACCAACCTGTTGACATTTAGTCGGATTTGTTTAAAATTGAACATCAGTGGGCATATTTAAATTACAAATTGTTGTCAGACATATTTTCAAGCATAACAGTACCGGAACAGACATTACATGTCAAATATATACATTCGTTTTACATTATCTATGTTTCTGTTTACATCTGAAACCACGTGGTAGAACTACTTTCAATCCGTATTGTTTCCGAGGTTATTATAGATAATAGCCGAGGCAGTTCCGAATGGTAAACAAATATGCAATCTTGTGTTTAATCAAATAGTTTAATCTTTTTAAATAAGTAAACAATATGTAACTAAGATTTGATTATATCTAACAATTTATTCATAACTATTATTTGATATTACAGACATATTTTTGTTATTTGTATATTAATTGAACAGTTTGTCCTCAAAATCATTCGAACATTATACAATTCGTACAATATTTCGACCTAATATCAACATTTTTAGGCCACTTGATTTCACCACCTTTAAGTAAGTATACATATCATTTCATTTTTACTTGTTATCCAATTTATTTCGCTTCATCCGTCTTAAAAATGATATAATATCCATCTTCCGCAACGCATCGTTAACTGGTTTTAACTTAAGGTAGTACACCCCTAATGGTCACTATAAGGAACTGTAAAATTGACAACATAGGACAGTTATATGCCTTAAATGTCACCTGTATGCAAAATTTAAACAAAATTTACCGTGTGGTTTATGAGTTATGGACATTTTTCTTAACTTAAACTTTGCCATTAAAAGGGTGTTTTTCAGAAATGAGGAAACTCTAAATAATCTATAATATCATCATTATGAAAAATGTTTTCCTATTGCTCATTGTTAAGAAACAAATAATGACATTTAGGTAACAAATTAAACAAGCAAAATGATTGTTTTTAAACGAAATGTTTTTGATATGTATAAAAATGTAACCCTACCCAACCCACTTTTAACACTTATTTCACCATTTCCATGTGTAAAAAGCCTTATTTAAAATATTCCTAAAATTTTGCACAATGAGGGGCTGTTTTCAAAGTTTGCCTAAATTTTCTTAAATGTATATTGGTTGGTCTTGCAAAATATAAAATACTTTTACCGTGTAGTTTTTATTTTATTAACCTTTGAAAATATATGGTATCATATTTGCTATTAAATTTGGCATTATTTAGTAAAAAAAATACCTACAAAAATTATATTATTAAAATGAAACACTTTTTTCTTCCATTAGGGATCTGGGAGATTAATAAAATATGTTAAAAAGAAAAAGAAAAAAAAAAAGTTACCCCTTCTGGGGTTCGAACCCACGCCCCTCAGTTTCAATACACTTTACAGTGATTCTAGCCTATTTCAAAGTGGAGATAGTGCATTAGGGGTGTACTACCTTAAAACCAGTCATGATAAATATCTGCAGTGTTATATAAAAGTTTAAATCCGAGCACACATTCACAACTGTGTTTATAACGTTATCAGTATATTGACCGGAGACCTAATCAGAAACAATTGATCAATCATTCTTTTATTTACTCATTGCCAAATCAGTTTTATAAATTGCATTCAGATGTTTACAAATTGATAACGAGAAAGACCCGTCAATAATGTATATATATTAATTTGTATCATTTAGATTATGTTAAACACATTTAAACAACAAATAAAAAGGCAATAGCAAGATTGTTTCAGTTTAACAGTTAGATTAGGAAAGAAAATTTACCTTCGCTGCATTGATTTTATGTATATTTAGGAGTTTATGCAAGTACATTTTCTTTCTGTTTACTATTATCCGTTGACATATCATTCAAGAAGGCTATGTTTTTGTCTGAGGTCTTTACGTTTGTAATACAGTACAATAGCATGTTACATCGTAGTTCATAAGTTGAATTACTTAAGTATTTTTGTCTAAAACTGAAATCAGCAATCAGTATTTAATTCAAAAACTTGTAATGTGCCCATATCCCCAAATTCAGTGGCTGTTACCGTGGCATATTTACGTACTTACACACTCGTGAGTGCGCGTGTTTGAAATACAATGTTCATAAGTTTTACAAACTGCCTGAGAGAGGACGCTATTGTTCTTGGGGAGACAAGTATTTCAGGCGTATCTGTGATTTTGACGTTTTGGCCTCGAAAATGGTCACATACTAGTTATGACATACCCCGATACCAAATCTTCGACTACAAGTCAAAGCTTCCCTTCTTATTCGGTCCGTCAATCTTTCAGTGGTCAAGTGACTACCCTTGGACCTACTGACCTCAAATTAATAGGGAATAGACTATTATTAGTACTTATTATGACTTTCCTCCACACTTAATTTTATGACTGTAGGCCGAAACTTTTCTCGAGTTATTAGTCAAATGAATATTTATTGGTCAGGGCCGCGTTGACCTTGACCTTTGGCCTACTGATCTTATCTCATAAAGAGCCATTTACTAGTTATAACAAACATTATTCGACAATGTGTTAGGGAAAAGAATTGTTTTGAAGCCTTAAATGATAAAATTTAAGACAATTCGTTTGGTCCTATTTCGACAACCATCAAAACTGTATCCTGATAATAACTTAATTAAATAATTTCAAATTACAAACACAATATAGCCTGTGATGTATAATATATAGACGATATTGTAATAAAAATACAGTAGAACTTCGGTAAGTCAAAGCTCAAGGACTTAAAATTTCGACATATCGAGACTTCGACTTCGTCATAAAAAATCTCAAAGCTCACTATAGAAAGCAAGTCATTTAATGACAGCTTCGAGCAGTTGAAACAGACGGGGGAAATTTGAGATGCTTTGTTTATGCTCAAAACTGCTTGGCATGTGGTCAGTTCTCAGAATATTGCTAACTGCTTCCGACATGCTAGATTCCAGCAATCTTTAATTTCCGATATTCAAATGGCTAAGGGAGACCCTGAAGATGACTTATACCTCTGATAACTCTAAGGCGTCAGACCTCTGGTGTATCGTTTGAGTGATTTTGTTCAGTAGATATCATCTTCGAAGAAGACTAACCGAAGTTTTACGGTATGTTTTATTTTATTTAAAATGTGTTTTTCAAATAAACAATGTTTTTATGAAAAAAAGAAAAACAATTATGAAGATTCGGTCTGTTGAAACATCTTTGGATATAAACCCCGAGATGCATCGATATAAAACATTATTAATTTTGGTCCCAATGGTCTTGGACACATTTCGTACAAAATTTGAACATGTAAACAATCTATTTATAAACAGCTGTACTGTGACGCCATGCAACAGATTTACTGTCACACCATCAAACAGATTTACTGTCACACCGTACACCAGTTGTACTGTCACACCATGCGACAGCTCTACTTTCATACCATACAACCGTTGTATTTCACACCATACTACAGTGTACTGTCACAAAATATAACAAATATATGATCACATCATAAATGTAAAGTCAAAAAGATATATACATGTACCTTATTTATGGATTTACTTGACTTGCATGCAGAATATAATTGGTTATATATTTATGTTTATCATATCTTTATTTAAAATTCAGCTATAAGTATGACTATATGAAATTTGAATCCTTATGTGCACAAACTGAAAATGTGCATGACAGTTAAACAGTTATTAACTTTCGACACAACAATATTTGAAAATGTTCTATCACTTTCCTTTGTTTATCACTAAGTATGGTAATACTATATTGGTATACTATGGTGTGCGTAGCTATTGATAACGAGTTAATAGACAGTTTTTACAGCTATTATTTTAAAAGTTATTGAATGTAATGCAATGCCATGCCATGCCATGCCATGATATGCCATGCAATACTTAATACACGTAATGTTATCTGAATTCATTCAAAATCATGGAAACCATAACACTGTACGCTATTATACCTCTTGTATTTTGGCTAAAAGATGTACTTCTGCGTCGATAGAATTGTAGTGCATATATCCAGCTGTTTTTGTAAACAGATCGGATGTATTTGCCATCTTTGCCGTTTGCTTGAGATAGTGGGGTCTAAATTTCATCTCAAATGTTGACTTGTAGTTTTCATTTTCATAGGTGACATTTCTAATAACAAATCGCCCATGGACTGTTACTTCTGATTTTTCTAATGTGTGTTTATCAAAAGAAATGTCAACATATATTTCACCATAATTTCTATAAACAGAAATGGTACAATTCCCATCAAAATTCATAGACTTGAATTTCTTTGTTTGTGGCATGTCACATATTTGATTCAATGTGTTATTGCCATTATCAGAAACCGTACAATTTTCTTCCGATTCCAAAAACTTCAATTTCTTTGTTTGTGGCTTCATATGTTTCATTAAATCATCAACATTCAATTTCAGATGTATGGATTTGCATTTCCAACCTTGATTTATCTCGATGTATTGTTGCTCTGTGCGGGTATAACCAGATTTAAGGTAATTGTATATACCCTTATACAAAGTCTTCTGTTCTCTGACTTGGTCCAGACGCCCCAACAATTTATCCAGGATCTTTGGAACGATTTTCGAAGGTAGGAGAATATTTGCCGAAATAATATCTCTGGCAGAATGTTCCGGCAACTCTTCACACAATTTGACTAATAAATCTTCCATGTTATAAATCAAAGCTGTCTGCAACATCATCTTCGTGTCTTCTGCTTTAAGTTCTTTGTTAAGTCTACTTATAAGGAATCTCTTGCATTTGGCTTTCAAAGAAGTCACCTGATATTCCTCGGCCAGAGGTAACAATTTGTACACGTTCTCATCAGATATACATTCGTCCATACAGGGATAAATAAACCTAAGGAAATCTCGCATCTCTCGCACCTTTTTTCCAGGAAGATTCAATTCTGCTTGATCTTTTTCTCTAAACTCTGACTGAAACATTCTATCAAATACTGGAGAAGCAAATGCCAAAATAGCCTTTGACACGTATAACTTTTCGCCTTCGACAATTAGAGTGAAATCTTCTTTCCATGTTCGTTCACTAAAATCCAATTCAGAACATTTCTCCTTGTTTGTAATGCTACTATCACAGCTTGAAGAAGATTGTTGTGAATTTTCATCCATGTCTGACAATATAATTGTTCATATATTCCTTGTTATTCTTAAAGCACTGTTTAGTTTGTTTACATGTTTGAACGACGTATTATGTTACCAAGTCCTTATCTTCACTCCTGTTAAACTGTGAGAAGACATTCAGGTGACGACGGACAGAGTTTTAGAAATATTTAGAATCATTATTATTATTATGCACTGCAATTCATATGTCAAACTGACTTTTATTATTGGTGCTCACAAGTATCAAATTGAAATATAATACGAGTGATATTTGGAAAATACGTAGACTTTCTTCAACAAATCCAAACGCGACACAGGAGAATGAAAAAAGTTACGTTTTTAAGTTATCACATATTGGTAGCTTGCAGTATCATAACATTGAATATTTATAGCGTGTTCCTTCGTATTAGTTTTTGTTAATTTTAAGTGTATAAAGCTATATATACAGTATTCTGCAAAAAAAATATTGATTAATTTTTTAAATATACTTCTTAAATTTTTGTAAGAAAGAAATATGGTAGCCTGTTGCCTTTAAAGCGAATGACGCATGCAATAATCCATTATAAACGGCGAAAACTCTACTTTTAATAGCAAAATTATGTTAAAAACCAGTTATAATGAATATCTGTAATGTTATATTTAAATTAAAATCCGATCACCTTTTCTCGACTGTGTTCAAGTGTAATCAATAAATTGATCTCAGTACGAATGAAGGCTTCTTAAGTTACGTATATTCAATGCTTCTTTTATTCATCTAGTCATTCACTCATTGTCAAATCAATATTTAGCAATTTACAAACAGATATCGTGAGAAAGACACGTTAATAACATTTACATGTATTTATACAATATAATTTAGAACATGTCAACTTTAACCGTTAATGCGACAAATAAAAAGGTAAGAGCAAGATTGTTTCAGTTTAACAGTTAAATTATGAAAGAAAATTTACCTTTCCCGCATTGATTTTTACATATATTTAGCAATACATGTCCTTTTTTTCTTTTTACTATCCGTTGACATAATTCGTTCAGTAAAGGCCATGTTTTGTCTGAGATTTTTCTGTTTGTTATACGATACAATAATATTGCCACAGTTAATAAACATAAGTTGAATAACTTAATTTAAGTATTTTCTTTATAAAACTGTGACAATCAGTATTTTATCTAAAAACTTGTAATGTGTCCATACCATACTCATTGGCTGCTACCGTGGCATGTTTACATGCTTATGCATACATGTATTTTATCAGAGTAAAGTATAATGTGTTATATTAATAAGTGATGTGTGCGCATGTGTGCACTTGCGTGTGTGTGCACGTGTTTTGAATAACAAATATTACGACTTATATGTTTTGCAAACTGTATGACCGAAGAAACTATTGTCATTGATGGGACAAGTATTCCATGCGTGACCATGGCCTTGATCTTTTGACCACAGAATCAATAAAGGTCATATACTAGTTATAAACAACCTCGACACCAAATCTTAGGACTACAGGACAAAGTGTTATCTGGTTATTTGGTTCATTTAACTTTTAGTGGTCAAGGCGGCGTTGACATTGCACTTTGGACCAATTACCTTAAATAAGTAGGAGTCACTGACTAGTTATATCAAACTGTATGGGACAATCTGATAGAAAAAATATTTCGGTGCCTGAAATGTTAAAATTCAAGATAATTCGTTTGGTCCTATTTCAACTACGCTTAGACGACCATCAATATTGTATCCTGGTAATAACTTAATAAAATAACTCCAAATGAAATAGATTTTATAGCCTGTGATGTTTAAAAAATAGACGATCTTGTAATAAAAATACAGTAGAACTTCGGTAAGCCGAAGGTCAGGGGACTTATATAAAACTTCGACGCATCGAGGCTTCGGCTTGGTCATAAAAACAAACATCTAGGTTTAAGATGCTTTGTACATGCTCAAAACTGCCCACATTGGTCAAGTTAGGAAATCACCTCTTTTCTATCTAAGGAGAAAGGTTTTGTTCCTGTGACTACCTAGTGTATTCATTTTGAGGACATTTATATAATAATGAATGAAAAGTTCAAAACGAATAAATGAAACTTTTGCCTGTGTCTCCCTTTAAAATTCAGCAATGAATATGCCCATAATTATGTATTTTATGTCTATACGTGTACACACTGAAAATATGTAAATAAAGCTTTAAAATTACTTGAAATATTCTACTTTTGTTTTAAAAGAGAAGTTATCTAATCATGAGTCCATGGCAGTTAAACAATAATCAATAGTCGACATTCCAATATTTAGAAATTTCATTACATTTTTACGGTTACATTTATGTGAAAAGTTGACAACATTTGCATATAACTTGTTTCGCAAAACCTAGAAATAACTCTCTATAATATTTATATACATGTATTTTTCAGTAAATATCGGTAAGTATTTTGTTCATTTGCTGAGTTAACGCTGTTTAAAGTTTACCACAACTGCACATAATTAACATTTTAATGCAGTTTCGTTTCCATTACATCTAAGTCACGATCTTAGTTAAAATGTATTTAATAGCATTCAATAAAAAAAAATATTATCACCAAAATAACTGTGAGTCCTTGAAAGTTCTACAAATCTAAGATATTTCTGTTTCCAAAACTGTCTTATATATCAATAAAATGTTAAAGGTAGCATATTTAGCGAACATATTTGATCTCCTATAACATTTCTTTGTTTATCTCCAAGAATGGCACTATTATTTTAGTATTCTCTCGTGTGCATAACTATTGTTTAATAATAGGTCTTCATGGCGTTATTTCAAATATAACTTATGTAATGCAATGTCATGACATACTTTTAAATACGTAAAAAGTATCTGATTCCCTTCAAAACCGCGAAAAGCATTACGATGTACGCTAATTCTACCTCTTTTGTTGGCTTACTTTGGCTATAAGATGAACTTCTGCGTCCAAAGAATTGTGGTGCATATATCCAGCTGTTTTCGAAAACAGATTGGATATATTTACCATCGTCGCCGTTTGCTTCAGTTTGGTTGGTCCAAATTCCATCTGAAATTTAGACTTGTAGTTTTCATTTTGGTACGTGACATTTTTGATTACGAATCGCCCATGTACTGTTACTATTGATGTTTATAATGTGTTTTCATCAAACGAAATGTCAACACATATGTTATCATTTAATATACCATTTATATAAACAGAAACCGTACAATTCCCCTCAAAGTTCATAGACTTGAATTTCTTTGTTGGTTGCATGTCACAAATTTGATTCAATGTGCTCGTGCCATGATCAGAAGCCTTACAATTTTCCTCAAAGTCTAAAAACTTGAATATTTTTGTTTGTGGCTTTTTACATTTACTAGTATTCAAATCATCAACATTTAATTTAAGATGTATGGATTTGCATTTCCAGCCTTGATTTGTCTCGATGAGTTGTTGCTCTGTGCGGGAATAACCAGATTTAAGGTAATTGTATATACCCTCATACCATGTCTTCTGCTCTCTGACTTTTCCCAGACGCCCCATCAATTTATCCAGGATCTTTGGAACGATTTTCGAAGGTAGGAGAATATTTGCCGAAATAACATCTCTGGCAGACTGTTCGGGCATTCTTTACACAATTTGACTAATAAATCTTCCATATTATAAATCGCCGCTGTCTGCAACATCATCTTCGTGTCGTCTGCTGGAAGTTCTTTGTTTAGTCTACTTATAAGGAATCTCTCGCATTTGGCTGTCAGAGTAGTCACCTGATATTCCTCGGCCAGAGGTAACAATTTGTACACGTTCTCATCAGATATACATTCGCTCATACCGGGATAAATTGACCTTAGAAAATCTCGCATTTCTCGCACCTTTTTTCCAGGAAGATTCAATTCTGTTTGATCTTTTTCTCTAAAGTCTGTCTGAAACATCCGATTAAATACCGGCGACAGAAGTGCCAAAACAGCCTTTGACACATACAGCTTCTCGTCTTCGACAATCAACGCGAAATCATTCGTCCAAGTTTTTTCACTGAAATCGAAAGTAGATTTATCATTGCCTGTTTTAATGTCAGATGATTTCTCCTCGTCTGTAATGCTACCATCACAGCTTGAAGAAGATTGTTATTATATTGAATTATATTTCACTTGAGGTTAGTTTTATTAAGAAATTGTACATGTCGAACCTCTTGGCATTATCAGAATATCATTATTCATAAACATAAGCATATAGAAAACTGCATGCATGTAAGAAAATGACACTGGGAAAAAACGAAATTGATGGCATATTTTAAATAAAATGCAGTTGTTGTTGTTTTATTGTTGATAGACTTTATTAACAAAGTTCATAAGATATAGCTTTATATTCTTTACGGTACAGTAGTCTTCATTGAAATTGCAAACGGAGACATCAAAATTTCTCAATTGAATTATGTGAATCTGGAATTATATTTGCTTTAAGTGATAATATTGTTATGCATAACTGTCGAACCTCTTTGCTCAGACCACTATTACTATGTTTAACATGCATGTAGGCAAATAACACTTGATAAAAAATTAAAGTGATTGCACATTTTCAACATAAAATCATGATTTTGTTGTTGTTGTTGTTGTTTTTGTTGTTGTTGTTATATATTATAGTTTATATTATGCAAAACAATATGTAGTTACGTAATATACATCTATCGCAACATATTAAAAAACGATGATGAAAATATGTACTGTTATATAAAAGATTAAATCCGAGCACACATTCACGAGAGTGATTCAAAAGTAATCAATATATTGATCTCCCTACGTATGAAGACCTCTTCTGTATACAATATTTCTATTATTTATCTATTTATTCAGTCTTTGGCAAATCAAGTGTATAAATTGCATTAAGATATTTACTACCAGATGTCGAGAGAAAGACACGTCAATTATATTTACATGTACATTTGTATATAAATTTTATCATTTAAAATATGTGAATTTAAACACATTAAGACAACAAATAAAAAGACAAGAACAAGATTGTTTTAGTTTAAAAATAAGATTATGAAAGAAAATTTAACTTCCTGCATTGATTTTATATTTATCTAGCAATACATGTACATTTATTTACAATACATATATTATTCAAGAAAGGTCTAAGGTCTTCAATTTTGTTATACAATATAATTATATGTTTCATGACAGTTAATTAACATCAGTTGAGCAATTAGTATTTTCTATCTAAAACTAAAGTGAACAATCAGAATTTTATCTAAAACTTAAAAATGTGTCCGATACATATGACCCCGATTCAGTGGTTGTTAAACAGAATTAAGTGTTATACAAGTTAAAAAGGTTTGCTTAAATTGTTTAAAAATATTTCATTTAACTGTTTTCAAAATTGTTTGAAAAAAAAAACGTTTGTAAAGAGAATATAGTTGACAACAATCGATCAATAGAAGATGTCGGCCCACTGAAATTTCGTACTTTTTGATATATAGTAAATCAGTCACATTTGAGGCTTAACTCTGGATTCCACTGTTGTTTCTTTTAAATAATTAAATGTCTTCAAATTTAAACATCAACACTATCTAAGTCAAATAAGGCCAGAAATATATTATTATCCATCTACTATTTTCGGAAATCTTCATTATGTTGTACATAACACTGTTGAATTTCACCACTTTAAGAACTCCTGATTGCTGGCTGGTAGTACATCTTAAATCCTTCTGCTAACGAGGTCCTGGAGAATACACAAAAAATACCTACATTAAGAGTCATAATATAACACACAAAAACGACACAGATGCAATAAATACACTTTAATTAGGACATACCAAACTAAATTTGGCCACCTCAAAATTTATAAGTACTACTTTCTAGACTACAAGGGGTTGGGTCAAACTCCGTACCAGAAAAAATCTTTGAAGACAGGTAAGTGTCGAAGAGCGATGAAGGTCGATTAGTAGGTCACTCGTCTGTATCATCAAAACGTTTGAGATTTGTCTTCAAACGTTTTGATAATGCAAACTACAATATTTTTTCATGTTGACAATTGCACTTGAATATTATTTCATATACCCGTTGGAAACTACCATATGTGCTTGAAGTATAGATTTTATTACCAATTTGTTAACGAACCTATAAAACGTTGATTAGCCGGTCATGTACAGTTACAGATCATGTGCTCTTCCATGTACCGAAAACAGGTCACGTCCTCCTCCATGCCTCAAAAATTAGCCGCATACCAATTTTATATTGTTGAAGGTGCATTCCCTATTACTTGTCAAATTAAATTGATTTATTCTTATAAAAATTGCCAGTTTTTTAATCATACTGTGATTACCTGTAGTGTGTAGAATTTAGACGTAACATATTTTCTTTTTGTATTCCAAAGAGGTTTATTTTATATTTCAAGAAACTGTATAGTAATCAAGTTTCCCAAACATCAAATTTGAGCATATATCTTTAATTTGTATCATTCATTCAGTTATAATAGCATTAAATGCCGTGTAACATACTAATCGACTGGTTTGTACATTTGTATAGATATAGAGTTTGAAGAATATTGATAATTTACAAAAAAATATTTTATTGACATCGAGATACCACAATCTTAAAATAAAGTAACCACGAACTTTTTATTTTAACAAGTTCCTTTAAATCGTTCTCATTCAGGAATAGACACGTAGATGAAAAAGAAAAGAGGATTGAGACTTCCATAAAACCTTTGTAAATACACATGTCTGGTCCGATATTCATTGTCGAGGCAGGTGTTCGCCTAAATTTTCTCTTGCAGAATCCTGTAAGACAGCCATATAACCATAAACTTATACTTATAAAAGTTTCTATCGCTTTTACCTAATTACTATAGTAGTTCGCTTGTAATATTTAACATTCACGTTTCTGAGAGGGACTTATTTAAATCTGATTTGCCATCTGCCTTAACAACAGATATCTGGATTAAAAATAGCACAGAGTTATATTACTGTGAAAGGACACCATATTGACAATGACTGAAATTTAAAAAGTAGAGTTCCCTTGACGCGTGACATGCCCGAAAAACACACACAGAAAAAATCGGAGAAGGCTGTCTGAGAGTGTTTCAGAGTATAATTTGGAAGGATAAGGTTGGGTGCTGCGTCCATGATAACGACGCTTATATCAATTGTGCCGAATGTCAGTGTCCGTGGAGTGACTTGGGGAGCTTTTGGCACACCCTTCAGCTGTGTACTTAACCTGATCTAGATCAATAGAGTGTAGCAAAAATGGTTGCTAAGAATCGAAAATTTGTTCGACATTTCAAACATTCCACCACCCTCACGGCAGAACATGAAAAACGTAAGGAAATACTGAATATTGCAACACAAGTTGATATCTTATGTCAGCATCAATTAAAACTGAATATATTTAGTGTTAAAACAATGTCGCTCAAATTATTACATCATATTGGACACACGTGTAACGTCGTCCAAAGACAACGCAACACTCAATTTTTATAAAAACAAGTGGGATTTGCCTAGGGGATCGTGTGTAGTTCTCAAGGATTTGTCTAAAGAAACACGCGTCTCTCGTTCTAAGATATATCCAGTTGTGATCGGTTTACTGAATGAACGTTTGAAAAAACGTGCTAATCATAGTGTACGTGCTAATCCTAGTGTAATTGTAACAGTTAAAAGTGTTTTTCGCTTTGAAATCAATACACGTTATCAGCATGAATCAAATGAGACTGCCAAATCATTACCTATGTTAGCATCCTTATTAGACCCTCAATAGAAACGTTTACCTTCCTCACAGATGAACAACGCTAGGCTACGCACGAGAAGTTGGATAAACGTATTGATGTATTCCCATTACGTTTTCCAAGCACATTTAAACTTCCAAACGTCGTAATTGAAATTTTGCGAATTTGAAAACGACGACAAGGAATGTGACGAAGTTGCTAGTTATCTCTTTGACAAGCCTTATCAGGACTGTGAACCTTTACTGTGGAACAAAATAATGAAATAAAACACAGCTGTGAAGTTTCAAATTGACATCAGGACTTATATAAGTACGAAACAGAATTTTAAAAAAATAGCTCAAAACTTATGCAGAAGAGGAAAATGGTTCTACATGTAATAGACTGCACTTTATGTTCTATCAATCTGTAAAATATATAGTAAATACATGCTTTACATTTAATAATGCCCAATACAAAATATGATAATTTGTAAAGGGTAATAACTCAAACATTTGCACATATGAAAATTTGGGTTCCAAACTAAAACAGTTTCGGTTTTATACTTCATTTGATCTGCTGACAGACAAATTTCGTGTCCAACGGACGAACATGCGGACGAATAATGCTTAGTCTAAAACCCTCCATTTTTGAAGGAAGATAAAAAAAGTCCGCGGTTTAAATATAATTGTGGATAATTAAACGGTCGCTTGGCGTAAAGGAGTCTGTCCATTGAAAAGATAAATAACAGACTGCATTACAAAGCAATTTGATACAATGCAACAAAATAAAACAATAAATACATAACAACACATATATTTTGTATTATATTTTATATATTACATTTACTAATACAATAAAGTCAGTATGAAGAAAGTTAGTATGATAGAAAAGAGCAACTAATTCTACAGTAAAACTACATTTTAGTAAAATTGAAATAATTTTCATAACGGAAAACATCAAAATTAGAAATAAAACAAAAGTGGTATTTACCTTCAATTACATGGTTTTAACATAATAAGAATAACTATTATTCTAGTCCTTGGTAAGATGATGAATATTAGTGACATGCAGAAATTGACGTTTATGAAGTTTTTTAACCAAGGTTGACAATTCTTGGTCGGTCATATGGTATAAATCATCTTGCTCCCCAGAGCATTACACATGAATGAATCATGAACAGTTTAGGAAAAACATTATGAATTCTTTAAGGAAAATGTTCGATAATTTGTAAACGTCTTATTTTGCCGCTTAATTGTCCTTAATTAACATCTGAAGTGTTGTTTTGCCAAAATGTTTACATGAATTATAGTGTTTAAGTATGCCAAATTACAATTGATGACCAATGTCCATTTTAGTTAGCAGATGTCGTCTGCTTCGCCTCTTCTCTCTTAGCTAATAGGTGGACCTCTGCATCCATAACACAATAGTACAAATATTTTGCTCTAACATCAAAGCCAAGCTGGCTATTTTTCATCTCAGCTGATCGTTTTAATATAGATGGTATAAATTCCATCTGAAATGTAGATTCATAGATAGGAAATGCATCAATCACATTTCTAATAACGAATCGCCCGTGTAATTTTACTTTTGACTGCTTTATTGTGTCTTCGTCGAACAAAATATCAATAATTATAGATTGATCCCAGTAATACCCGTCTCCTTTTGTATAGATAGACATCGTTAAATTTGCGTTAATGTCTAAAAACTTGAATTTTTTAATTTCTGGCACATGTTTTCTCATTAAATCGTCACCGTTCAATTGTAAATATAATGATTGGCATTTCCAATCCTTATATACCCTTAAATTTCGCTCGATGATGTCCTGCACGTCATGAAAATGTCCAGATGTTGTATATTTGTATATTCCTTCAAGCCACGTGTTCTTCTCTCTAATATATTCTAGACGTCCCATTACTTTACCAAGAATATTAATAATGGCCATCGTAGGTAGAGGAATTTCTTCCGAAATAACACTCCTGGCAGACTGTTCTGGTAAATCCTCACAAAACTTATCGATTAAATCTTCCATGTTATAAATCGCTGCTGTCTGCAACATCATCTTAAATTCGTCTGCTGGAAGTTCTTTGTTTAGTCTACTTATGAGGAATTCCTCACATTTGGCTTTCAGAGAAGTCACCTGATATTCTTCGGCCAGAGGTAACAATTTGTACACGTTCTCATCAGATATACATTCACTAATACCTGGATAGATAAACCTAAGAAATTCTCGCACCTCTGAAACATTTTGTCCTGGAAGAATCAAGTCTGATTCATCTTTTTCTCTGAAGTCTGAGTGAAACATCCGATCAAACACTGGAGAGGCAATTGCTAAAACAGCTTTTGAAACATACAGCTTCTCGCCTTCGACAATCAGAGTGAAATCTTCCTTCCCAGTTTGTTCACTAAAATCCACATTAGATTTGTCATTGGTTGTTTCAATTTCGGAAGATTTCTCCTTATCTGATGCACTGTTATCAAATGATGAAGCAGCTTGTAAACTTGTATCCATGTCCGATCATAAAGTTCAATATAATTGATATTTGTTTAAAAACACTAGTTTGTTTACATGTAGAGCTGCTTGTAACCAAGACCGTTTTCTCACTCCTGTAAATCTGTGACAAGATGAAGAGGTAATGACCGTAAAATATTTATTTTTGAATTTTAATTCTATTATATTTTTTTATGATTCTTTATTTGTATTTTTTATTATTTTTTATGACAGGGTGGGAACGTCAAACCAACACAGCATCTGTCATACGGCGACATTAATTTGACTGGTAGAGGAAGACCTCAGATGCACCTCTGTACATTATTCCAAGCACAAACGGACACCAGAGTAAAACTAACAAAGTTAATAGCCTCTTCACATGAAAATATCTAAAGTCTCTGAAGGGAATCGATTTTACAGAGGTAAGGGACGAGTGGTTGGATGTCAACGACCTTTACCAACTGGCCAGGAACTAAATGCAGATAATCAAACTTACAGATTATATTAATTTAAACTAGTCCATTGTTGAATTCGTACAAACCTTTGCATTATTATACCGTAAATTTGTTCATGTACATTGGCTAACGGTTGATGTGTATAAGTTTACAAGTAAGCATTTTAATTACAGTGAATACAAAAAAGAAAGAGATTATGGCAAAATTAAAAACAGTATTGCTTTTTACAGTATATAATATATTTAATAACCCTTATTTTGAAATATAAATGTATCCGCATAAAGACAAACTTAATATCTATCTTACGCAACGCATCATTATAACTATCTGTATTGATTTAATGAATAAAACATTTGCTTCACCTCAGCGCACATTCATGGGTGTGCTTCAAAGGTATAAACAATAAAGGCAATCAATATTTGATCTACGCTTGAATACCTCTGACATTGATTATTATACACGCAAAATTATCTAAATCTCTACAGCTTACTATATTTGGATGATAAAAGCCTTTCAAAATTTGGATAGCATAACCTGTAGCTCTATGTATAGCGGTGGTG